GACTCGAACTGCTATAGCATATATATATATATATATATATATATACACCGTATCAAATTCCCCAACGGCTAATTTCCAAAAGTGCCGACCGATCTTATCATAGCTCGGAGACGCGGGTATATATATCATAATATGGTATCATACTCGTACAGTGCTCTGCATGACCAAGACTACCATATATACAACACCAACAATAAAAAGAGTATCATACCCTACAATACAACGACAGTCCCTTTGCCTGATACTTCCTGGAATATTCGACTTTCCTTCCGGGGCTCCGGATTGAGGTCTGGATCATTGGGTTGTTACAGTGATCGGAGTTGTGGTTGCTCGGAATACCACAGAGTGTGTGTGACTTACTGGCATCGTACTATGATAGTGCTCGTACAGTACAGCGCTGGTCGTCGTGACTGTGACGGAAACGAGTAAAGAGTGGGGCTGCAGCGGTGAATGTGGTCATGGTTACTTGGACAGGGCTGGTGTTCTGGATCACGGACTTCGTATGAAAGTATTGACTTGTCTATCGGTTTGAAGAATTGTGTTTTTCAAGAGAAAGGAACCAATTGGGAATGGTTCACCGTTGTTGAGGGTGGTTAAATTGGCCATAGTTGGTTAGTCTGCACTCTGAAGTACTTGAGTAGTGTGAAGTTTGGGAACAACTACGGTATGATAGAAGGGGAGGGAGCCTGAGGGTCACAGCCAACCCAGCAGCCTTCCCCACGTCTACTACTGGAAAGATTACCCGGCCGCCAAATGCCTTCCAACTGCCTTCCAACGCAACGGCGGCTCAAACACCAAAGGTAAAAATCAAAATCATAAAGACTTCTATTCCAGCCCATCCCGGTCTACCGCCAAAAAAAAAAAAGCCATTCATCAGCCCAACAACAAAAATGCCGAAGCGAAAAAATCCCTTCACCGATCCGCCCGGCAAATCCCCATGTCTACCCCACCCCTCCACCGTCGCCCTACCAGCGCGCGCTCACGCTCAGGCCACCAAATCACTAACCTCCGCCCTCCCAGCTTACCACAGGCGCATCTTCCGCGTACTGAAGAAAGCCCGCGGCTTCGAAACCGTAAAGTTGATCCGCCGGATAAAGTCCTCCCGCACCTCCACCGGGCCAACGGCAAGATTAGAGGGAGAATTGGAAGTGCTGAAGAAGGTGAAATTGGATCTGCTCGCGCGGGCGCACTTGCGCCGGTGCGTGGGGAGAGATGGAAGGTGTGTTCGGAGTGGGGTTTTTGATTGGGGGGAGGTTTGGGGCGCGGGGGAGGGGAAGGATGGAGAGGGGCAGGGGATGGGCAAGGTGGAGCGGGACGTATGTGCTAGGTTGTATGGGGCTAAAATGGTTAGGGAGGCTATGGGGGATGTATTGGGGGGTGTTAGGCGGATTTTGGGCGTCGATGAGGAGAAAGAGATGGCGCGGAGTGATAACGACGGGGAGGAGGAAGGGAAGAGGAAGATTGAGGCGAGGTTGGGGAGGAAGGAGGAGGGTGGGGAGGTAAAAGGGAAGAAGAATGGGAAGAATGAGAAGGAGGATGGTGAACCTCTCAGTCTGTCAGCTTCTGCCTTTGACGATGGCGATGATGACAGTGGCTGGTCGTCCGCATCTTCACCCTCAAAGTCCAAACCAAAACCGAAACAGAAGTCGGGAACAAGCACCTTCCTCCCCACCCTTCTGGCCGGCTACATATCCGATTCCTCCACCTCCACCTCCAGCACCACCAAATCCAAACACAAAAAAGGTCCCCCAGAGAAGAAACAGCGGAAAAACCGCATGGGCCAGCAGGCCCGCCGTGCCTTATGGACGAAGAAGTACGGACAGAATGCGGCACACTTGAGGCAAGAAACGCAACGTGAAGAAGAGAGGAAGAGGAAGAGGGAGAAGAATAAGAAGAAGAAGGAGGAGGAGAAGGAGAAGGGACAGGCGGAAGGTAATCTTCACCCATCCTGGGAAGCGGCGAGGAAAGCTAGGGAGGGCAATATGGCGGTTGTTCAAGAAGCGCTGAAGGGTGGTGGTGGGGGTAGGAAGGTTGTTTTTGATTGACGTTCGTGTCGCGCAGTGAGATCGCCAGGGTTGTGTATAAGTTGGCTTTTGATAATGTCGTGGTGGTAATGGAGAAATGTTACCTGTATTTAGCGCTCATTCGGACATTGCCGTTTTTTCATGATTTACCTTTACCCGCTTGCTCGCTGTATGTATCGGCCGTAAAACGAACCGTAAACAGAACTCCGGATGTTGTCTTGTTGCCTGCCGTCACCCTCGCTGTGGACAGCCTGACGGGTGACGAAAAAAAAAAACAGCCTGATGCGGGGGTCGAACCCGCGACATTGAGGTGTTCTTCACAGGATTTTACTCGCTGTAAAAGCCACACGCTCTACCACTGAGCTAACCAGGCCTATGTATGACAAGGAATTTTTGCACCTATTATTTACACTACCGCGGTTTCATATTCAAATTAACAAACTTACGCTTATGCAACTCTATCGGGCCAACAGGGAAAAGGAGAAAACTTCTTCGTTACCGTACCGCAACATGACTAGGACTACTTCATGACTGGCTGGGCCGCTTGGGGAATACGACGCGAAAGGAAAAAAAGGAAAACATCTCTACCCCTGCTTTGCCTTGGTATCATAATTACACAATTCCCACAACCTGGAGGAAAGATTGAAAAATGGTACGGTATAAAAGCCAATTAAACCCCCAAAGAAAAATACCCACCCCCCCCCCGCAGGAAATAAATCCATGCATGCATCCGTCCATCCAACCGACTTGATAGTAGTTTCGTCGGGAAATGTAAGTAAGCACTACAAAAAAAGTAATAAACAAAAGGAATAAAGTTAAATCCGATGTATCGCTCCCCATTGAAAGGAAGAAAAAACGAGAAAGAATTTCGAGGCTATCGTGTCTCCCTCTGTAGGCCGGAGCGTAGGACAAGAGTACGAAGGGATAGAGTGGGCAAACCATGTCAACCTTGATCAGAAGTCGACCCGAGCGGTAGGCTTTCAATCATTTTCAACATCCTAACATTTTGTGGAGGATCACATGAGAAATTAGCCCGGCCAAAGAACATAAAAAAATCCAAACGTACCCGCACATCAATACGCAAAAGATTCACAAAAAAGGCACAATGTGTGGGGTCGCGAGTGGTATACACACCTAGTATTTTCCCGTGTAATTTCCTCGTTATCGGCTTGTAGTTGACCGAGTTGGGTCTTAAGCGCAGCTACCTTTAGTATCACAATTCTTAGCCTCGGTGATCATTCATATATAGTTGTGAGAGGAAGCATAGTTTCCTTAGCAACTCACATTAGCAGAAGGAGATTGGGTGGCTGACAATTCCTATAATAGGTATTTTCTTAACTTCCGAAGTCTCCCCGGCTTCTCCCCCGCGAGAGGACCCATTTTCTGTGCTCACCTGGTTTTTGATTTGTAGCTTCAGCTCAGCTAGCTGCGCCTCGACTACTTTCATTTTGGCCGCCGATTCCTTCTGGGAATTTATAAGCGCTGTTTCCTTCTCCTTAACGAGGGCTTTAGCGGCGTCCAATTGCTCCTTTAAAGTCGTCTCTGCTCCTTCCGAGCCCTTGATAGCCATCTCAATTGCGGATTCCTTGATCTTGATAAGCTCCTTAGAGCTCTCGACCTGTTCCTTGAGTTGCTTTATCTCGGCTTCAAAGTCAGACTTCTCTTTGGTAGTTGTTTCCAAACTGTTAGATTTTTCCGTGCTATCGGCTTCCAACGAGGATACCAAGTGATTAGCTTTCTCGAGGTCAGCCTCCTTTGCCTTCATGGCCTGAAGGGCGGTCTCCTTCTCCTCTTTCAGTATACTGAGCTCTCCTTTCAAAGACTCCAGTTCAGATGTGATGGAAGCCATAGAGGCTTCCTGCTCCTCCTTAAGGGTTTCCATCTCTCTGCCGAGGGCCCCGTTCCCATCCACTAGGGTCGCATTTTCTTCCTCCAAGGCCTTCTTTTCCATCTCCAAGTCCTTCACCTTCTCGAGAGCAGCCAAAGTAGTTTCGACTTCCTTCTTTTCGGATCCAAGCTTATCCTTCAAGCCCTTGGCTTCACGCTTCAGCTCATCAAGCTCTATCTGGTAAATTTTCTCTATCGACTTGCAATCAGCTTCCATCGACGCACGGAGACCCCTAACCTCTTCATCTGATTTCTCAACAGCTGCGGTTTTTTCGACCACCTCCTTCTGGGCCTCCGAGACCTCAATCTCGAGGGCCGAAACTCTCTCGAGAAGCTCCTGATTTGAAGCCTTCTCCTTTGCAACCTCGGACTCGAGCCCAGATTTAGATTCCTCTGCTTCCTGTAACGATTCCTGCAACCTTTTGATCTCGGCATCCTTGGATGTCTTAATCTCGTCAAGTTCTGCCTTTGTTATCTCAAGTTGCTGAGAAAGGGCGTCGAAAGCAGATTGATCAGGGACAGCATCCAGAGCGGCTTGTAGCTCCACTCGGGAGGCTTTCTCAATTGCACACTTATCCTCCAGCGAAGAGATGGTAGAGCTGTGACTCTGCAATAACTGTGATATGCTTTCTTCTGCCTTTTTAAGCTCCCCAGCCATACGAAGTATCTCGACGTTATGTGCCTCTCTGGTTGAATCTAGTTCGGCAACAAGCGCTTCGTGCTTGTCAGAAAGCAGAGTGTACTTTCCCTCGTTACTAGAAGTGAGTTCGGCCCTCATTTTCTCGATTTCTGTAACGTGTTCAGCGCGTTGGGAATCAAGGGCAGCCTTATGGGTTTCCTCAAGCTTAGAACCCCTCTATACGAATATTAGCGACTCGACTCCTATGCGGAGGGCAATTGCTACTGACCTCAGCGCTGTCTGCAATATCCTTAACAGCCCTTTCGAGATCTACCCTGAATTTTGCCAGTTGATCCTCCTTGTCCTGCAATAAATCTCGTGAGCAAAAAAACAAATGTGAGCACATATGGAACAAACCGCTAGTTCCTTATCCAAGGCCCCCAAAGTGTTCTGTAGGGTGGTGACTTCTTCCTTGCTTTGCTCTTGTGCCGACTTGATCTCGCCTGCAGAATGATGCTCAACTAGTTCCAACTTCCGTAAGGCTCCTTGGATCTCCTCTCTCGCAGTATCCAACTGGGCTGTCAAACTGCTGACTTGGTCCTGGTTTGACTTTGTCAACTGGTCAATTTTGTTTTCCCATTCTTTGTCTTTGCTCTCGGCGCTGCCAGAAGCTTCCTTCTCTAGGGCTTCAATGGTCAATTCAAGCTGCTTCTGCTGAGATTCACTCTCCTGCCTGACAGCTTCGATCTCCTCAGCAGCTTTTTCCTGAGCAGTCTCCAAAGCTTTAGCACCCTCCAACTTAGTAGCCTCAATCTTTAGTAGTAGATCCTTCTCCAATTCCTTAGCTGAAGATTTAGCTTCTTGAAGCTGGGTAGACAAAGTCTCGGAGCTCTTTTCTAGTTGCTCTCGGTGCTCTTGAATAAGCTTCTCAAGTTTGACCTTGGCCTCCTCGGCCGCCGTTTTCTCGGCATCAACTGCCTCTAATTCCGCTGCGTGTTTCTCTTGGAGTTCTTGGATGGCCTTTTGCTCCCCAGCCTTGTTTTCAAGCATCACACTCTCCAATTCTTCTTGCAGGAGCTTGATAACATTACTGAGCCCGTCAATCTCCTTCTGGCGAGACTCGAGTGCCTCCAAGTTCTTTTCGGCGACACCCTTAGAAACCTCGTCTTCATCCTCAATTCGTTTCTTTAACGCAGAAATCTCTTCGGTAAGCTCCTTGACAAGGCCTTCCGCATCAATAGAGCTTCGGCTATTGGCTTCCTTCTCGGCTACAAGGGCAGCATTGAGAGCTTCGACCGCCTTATTATACGCCGCCTCCCGAGCTTCAATAGCCTTCTGGAGATCGTCGGTTTCAGCCGCAGCCTTTCACGAAATTAGTTTTTGGTCACACCATCGTACCAAAGACAGAAATACCTTTTCAGCCAAGGAAGTGTTATTGGATACCTCTTCAGCGTGACGTGCTTCTAGAGACTCAAAGGAAGCTTTCAGGGCATTAATCTGCGCGAGTAGGTCCTTTTCTTTTGCATCAAAGCCACCTTCGAGAGCCTTGCGCTCTTCTGCATGCCTGGCAATAATCTTATCGTTTGTATCCCTCATCGTTGCCGCAGATTCCTCAACCAGGGCTGCGAAGGTTTCACACTTCGTTTCAGCATCTTTACATTGAGTCTGTAGCTTCTCGTTCTGTGTGATTTGTTAGCCTCAGATATATCATGATCTAATATACGTGATAAAAACCATACCGCTTCCTGAATGGTAGTAATCCTTGCTTTGAGATCCGCTAGCTCGGACTCCAACTCTTCGGTGGCTGTTTTAGCATCGCCATTAGTGGCGGAGTGGCTACCTGCTTTGGAAAGTTTCTCCGAGAGCTCCTTGTTCTTCTCCTCTAAGCCAGACACCTTGACTTTCAGCGCTTCCAACTCCTTCGAAGAATTAGCGCTCGATGCGCTAACAGGCCCACTAGGTCCCATGGTTCTGGAACGTAAAGTCGAAGTGCTAGGCCGAGAAGAAAGACTGGAGGTTCTAGGGGCGCCTCTTGCAGTCGCGGGGATAAGTCGTCCCGCGGCAGACGGAGGCCTAGGTGAGACGGCATTTTCCCGGGCATTGGAAGCAGCCGAAGGGCGCCCGGCAGTTACGGTATTAGACATCGAAGGACGTGACCGGTGTGTAGATGCTGTGGGTGTTGTTGTAGAAGTAGCGGCTCTTCTCACATTACCAGCGGCACCTGCGGTGCTTCCGGCGGCGGTCCGGCGATCAGCGGTAGGACTAGTTGAACTGCTCGAGCTAGGTGGCATCCCCTTCTTCTCGGGCGAGCGAGGAGTATTTGCGGCTGGGGAAGCAATTGTCGATGTCCTCCTGGAAATACCAGATATTGTGGCCCCCCGCGAGCCAACAGTTGGGGGGTTGTTCGCAGTACTGCTAGCTGATCCGGAAACGGTTCTACGTGTTGCCGCATTGCTGGCAGTGCCGGTGGCCCCATTGGTTCCGGCGGTAGATCTCTGAGGAGGCTTTGATAAACTAGTCCCAGTCCTCCGCGGCGGGAGGCCAGAGGCTGGAGCAGTAGCGCTCGATCCAGCTCCGGCAGGACGCCTAGCCGTTCCCGTCACAGAAGGTTTCTTGACTGCCTCCTTTTGCTCTTCCCGATGGGTCTCCTTAATCGGGTCATGATCTGCTGCAGAAGACGTCTCCCCCACCATAAGAGTGATAGCCAAGCTCTGAGGAGAAGTTGGGGCTAGCACCTCTTCAGGAGAATCTGACATATTTGCTGTGGAGCAGTGATTAAAGGTTCACTGAGGTGAAAAGAAAAAAAAGGGGGGGGAGAGAAGTTTGAAGAACCGTTTGTTGCGAGGGGAATTAGGGATGAGGCTTTTTGTAGGGAAGCAGTAGCAACCGGCTAGCGTGATGAGATAGGGGATGTTAAAGATACGATGAGCGAAACTAATGCAAGTGGCGGTCAGTCAAACAAACGCGTGCAGGTCGAACCACGTCGACAAAGGCATTGAGATGGATGGATGGGATGTGGGTTTTGGTTGTCCCGGCATGGGCTCAGAACTGCGGGGTGAAAAACGAAAAAGAGGGAAGGGGCAGCAGGGCACCGGATAGAACACAACGATACGGTGGAGCATAATCTTGTTTAGGGATGGATGTGAGGGAGGGGTGGGCCGGTTATTTTATGATATGCTATGCAGAGAGAATAACGGTTTAGCAGGGGATGGGGTGGGCCAACACACATCGAACTTGCCGGCGACAACGCTGCACGTTATCAACAGAAAGGGTTCGTCCCTAGCTTCTGATTGGAAAGCCCAATCTCGAAACACGCCCTTCCAAAGACGGGCCCTGGGATAGTATGGATAAGGGTGAGGGGGGTTAGCGCTTGAATGTCAATGACGGCGGGATGGTGCGAGTGGAAGAAAGCTTGCGTGAAGGGAATGGAGGAGGGGAGGAGGGGAAGGAGTGGGAGGAGGAGGAAGATAGGAGAAGAGATGTGGGAAAAAGGAGAAGAGGAGAAGAGGAGAAGAGGAGAAGAGGAGCGGAAAGTGAACGGGTGGCAGGCGGAAGAGAGACCAAATGTCATTTCGTCTCCCCGGTGGTCAGTGGTCGCTGGTTTTACTTTCAGACTCTTTTGTAACCTGTCCCAAGCGAGAGATTGGAGCCAGAGATCTCTAACTCGACCAGGCTTAGCCCCACGTCTGTGCTACCCTATGCGGCTGCAGGAATCGCTCCAGCCCAGAATTTTAAAGTGACTACTCGTACTATATTATGATGCCGTACTATGCCCATCATACGGATAACCAGGAGCTTCCCCCTTCTCTTGAAACCATATTTTCCCAGTAAAAACCTCCTTCACCATGCGCGCAAACATCGGAGGGAGAAAGAAAGAAAGAGAGAGAACTGTTGTTACGGTGCTAGTCCTCCAACAACGCACGTACAATACCGGTAACCGATAATTAATCTCGACCGCTCTTCCGTTCCCCCTCTCTCTCCCTGCAGTACCAAGTGAGTCGAATGCAGCATATCGATAATAACAACGATGATTACCATACCACTCTTCCCTTCCTCCGTGTTCCAATGGCCCCACGGGGTAGTTGCCGTACGGTGCACACCGCATATCACGATACTTGTACCGGTATCCCCATTCCCGGCAGGACGCACGACCGTTAGACTTTTCACCGGTACACTACCGGTAGCGGCAATAACAGGTCCCTGCCTAAGTAGTAAAAGAAAGGAAGAAAAAAAGAACGAACACATACCGGTACTACAGTAGTACCGGTATTATCATACTCGAGTAAATGTAATGCAACGGCATAATTAATTTGGGCCCGCCCGCGAGTACCGTACCATATACCATAACCATATCTGGGAGAATACCCCCACAGTAAAAACAAACTTGAGCCAGTCAAGGTATGATTTTTCTTTTTCAAAAAACGAAAAGAAAGAAAAAGAGAGGAAAATGAGAAGAGAGAAATCATTGCAGCAATCACGCGGATCCCAAAAGGAAAGAATAAGGAAAGGCAAGGAAGAATAAGTACAGCACCCCCGCTCCATTAACCCCAAGCACCGCTATAAGAACTATGCAACCGGACCCTGAAGAACCCATAAGACACCGAAACTGCAGTCGCGAGTCACATGTGCAGAAGGAGAAGAAAAAGGAATATAGAAAGAAAAAGATGGCAGCCTTAACGAAATTTGAAATGCTAAAGACCCTAGGTGGAGGTAGAAAAAAAAGGGGGGGGGGAGGGAAAAGGATAACCCATGTTTTCGACCCCGCCTTCGAAACGTTTACTGTTGTATCATTAAACTTGGTGGGGGGGAGGTGACTTTTTCTTAAGGTCTCCTGTCTCTGCGACCCGAACACCCCCGGTTCCAACACTACCCCTTCTAAGCCTACCCTCCTCACCTTCCATGGTAGCAAGCTTGCTGTCTGGAGAACTAGTCCTCCTAGGCCCGAGGTTTGCCTCGGTTGCTTGTGTGATATCTGGTGAAGGGGGATGCTTGTCCGCTTCACCGGTAGCCCATGGTGCTCTTGCATCCTCCATGCCGGGTTCTCTGCCAGGTAATGGGCGGGGAGCGGTGCGAGAGCCCGAAGATTCCGTAGGGAAACGGCCTACTGTGGATCCGGTTTGATTCACAGTAGAAGCGGGGATGCCCCAGGGCACCCGGGTGGTGAAATCGGTATTTGAGCCAATCGTAGGAGACTGCGTTGGGTTTCTAGCCCAGGGCGCAGCGGTGCTGGTGATTAAATTATCCGGAGCCCGAGTTCCAGGACCAGAGCTAGGACCAGATCTAGCTCCTACCCCACCCCCGGTCCCGGTTCCCGGGCCACTTGCTCGGGACGCTTGAGCACCAGCAGGAATAGCCGCGGTATTGGCAGAGCTATCCGGCCCACCCCAAGTGAAAATACTCCCAAACTTGAAGTGCTGAACAACCGGAAACTTCCCCAGAACTTCCGCATTAAACATCTTGATCATTCCCTAGACCATAACCGTAAGCAAACCCTGTCAAAACACAAACACTAGGACAGTGCTTACTTTGTTTATTTTACCCCACCCTCCTTGAACACCAGAGATATCATATAAAATCGGACTATGCTCCCAGAAAGGGCCCTTCTTGACATCATAGATAAAACCAATAGCCCCAAAGTAAAGATTTCTCAAACGCTCCCTCTCAACGACAAGACTCTTAACCACATCCCCAGGCTTCGGCACATCTTCCAGCCCCTCCACGTTCGCCAGAACCGCCGAGCTCGAGGAGGAATCAGTCGGGGGGTGGGTGGTCAACTCAGCACTGCCAAAGATATACGGAAGGAACGAATGATCATCAAGCCCCCAAACCCCATGAGAACCCGCGGGCTCAAGGGTGTACGTAGTCACCAACCGTCTAACCAGATGAAGATATGCGTCGAGGCATTTGAGAGCCAATCCGAGCTCATCCCTTCCGGCCTGAAACCCACCGAGCACCCAAATCCCGCAGAGAAAGGCCAAGAACGAAAGCTCGTGCCCGGTGCCGTAATCGAGGCGTTGGGGGGATCCGAATGAACCGAGAAGATATGGGAGTAATTCCTGCTTGGCGGTGATCTCACCCTTCCCCCCTGGCGAGAGCACCGACACGGGTAGGTGCTGGTCGAGAAGACTATTCGGACCCCCAAGAGCGTCCTCGATGAGAGCGTGCCAATGACGGTAGGCAGTGTTACCGAACCTTCGCGGGCCCGGGTCCGGTGGAGCTTGGGTCACCAGGGCTTCCAGCTTGTGAATGAGTTGGATGATGCCGTCGACCTCGGGGGAGACATGAATGGTGGGGGAGGTCAGTGTGTAGTTCTGTGGATTGCGGAGCTCGCCAGTTGCAGGGCTCAGTGGAGATGCCGAAGCATTAAGGTGAAGGATGAAGTTTGTTATCAGTTTGTAAGCCGGCGAGATGATAAAATGCGGAACGTCCTCTTGGACGTGAATTCTTTTTGTCGGGATAGCGAAGATATGTTTAGCGGGGTCGATCGGTTGAAGGTCGGAATCCGAAGCCATGGTGAGAGACGGCTATGTACGGGTAAATGAGTATGATAGGAGAGGTTGAATGAAAGGATGACGGTATGTACCTGTAAGAAGGGGAGAAATGAGGGTCCAGAGGGCGGAAAACACCAGACGAGCAAGGAGTTGGATGGATGGACAGATGGTGGTGGTGGAGGACTATGAACAGGAAGGTGATCTATGGCGGGGTGAACGGGAATTTCGGACACGGGGATCAGGGATCTAATAGCTTTACGACCGTTGACGTCGGTGGGCGAAACGCCCACAGCACCTTATCTTGACTCCAAGCTTCTATTGAAGAAAAATAGTAACCCCGAAGGCACGGTACGAGTACTCGAGTATGATACGGCATGATACAAAAATCGCCGGACACTTCCCCGCTCAATACAAAAAAAAGAAAAGGAAAAACCCACAAAACCCGGATTAGCAGGCCATTTACTACCGTACCGGTATTCTGCCGGTACCGTACCTGCATCTCCTACATGTGAAAGACCCCCACCGCCCCCAGCGAGAGCACCGCGGGCGCATTCTAGGCATCTATAGACCATGAAACCAACGCCGCGAATATCTACAAGATCTATTGACCAACCGGTGTTTTGGTCAATACGGTGCTACGGTCGCTGTTGGCTCTCGTGCTATCGCAGCGTAATCACATATCGGTCATCATAATGCTTTTCAGATATTACTCACATTGCAAAGGAAGCTACCAGTAGTGCACTCAAGGAAGTGTGTTATGGCCTGCGATTACCGATTGGGCATCATACCTGTATTGTTGCCTGGGCGGGGCGTTGGGCTCTTCACGGGTGCTCACTCGGAGGCTTGATACGGTTTCAAGGGACGGGTGATTCCGGGGGGTAAGAATGTAAGCACTCAAAAAGGCTCAAGATGGGATGTATTTTGTGATCATTTCTCTCTCGTGCATCTAGTTTTCACGGGGTTACCCAGCGCTCAAACCCATATTATTTTTTCTACAGACACCCGGGGCCAACAGAAACCTGACATAGCAGAATAAACGAGGATATAATATTAATGCTATTCAATGAAACCCTAATTTGCTACCCAGCAACCCAAAGACTATGATAAATACAGTATTACATTATTAACGCCGCTAAGGCAACTTAAACCCTCCCTTTACCAACTTTTGAAACACTCCCTTGGGATCATACTTCTGGGAAACCCTCTTTAATTCTTTCACCTGCGCATCTCCGTAGCTAGCGATAACCTCCTGATCGATAGCAGCATCATTGAGGAACAAATACTGCTCGAACAGGCCCTTAGCCTTCGCCAGGTCCTCGATCTGCTTGATGAAGCTAATGCTAAGCGGGAGCATGACCTGGTCGTCGGATGGGAGCACCCAGCCGGATGTCAAGCACAGCCATGTCTGAGCCTTCTCCGATATACCCATTGCATTTCCGCCGCGAGTCTTGCCGTGTTTCACGGTTGATGCGGCGACGGGCTGGAAAGTTAGGGTTATGCGGTAGCCAGGGATGGAGGAGAGGGTGGTATTCGTCGTGTAGGTCTGTTGAAAGAGGGCGACGATCTCGCGGTAGAATTCCGAGGAGACGCTGATGCTTATGGTTCGGAAGTCATATCTAGACAACACCACAATTATTAGAAGTCGGATGATTCTTCAGGTCATTTACGTGAAGAGAGCGCACACACCGAAATGGAGGTTGATTAGCACCAGCTTCCCCACCGCCAGCCTCCCTCGCTATTTCTGGCAAGGTCATCTGTCTGCTACTGTCGGCCACGGGGCCGATATTGAAGATAGGGTCCAGGGATGCCGGCTTCTGGCCGCTAGCATGAAAAACAGTCACCATGAAAGCGCTCGAATTGCCCTGCCCTTGGTAGGACATGCTAGGGATGATCGCCGCATCAGGGTCAGTCAATTGGCCATTCTTCTGATACTCGGCAATCGCATCGGTAACGCGGTTGAACTGCTGAGGCAAGAAAATCGTGTTCCCGCCCCAGACTTTCCCATTGGGAATCGGGATGGTGAACAAGTTGAACCGAGTGACAATCCCAAAGTTATTGCTCCCGCCCTTGAGAGCCCAGAACAATTCCTTATTCTCCGCAGCAGATGCCGTGACGATGCTCCCGTCCGCGATGACAACTTCGAAGCTGGCGACATTATCACACGCCATTCCATGGCCGGTTGAGAAGTAGGAGTTTCCGCCTCCAGTGGTTAAGCCGCCGATGCCGACGCTAGGGACTCTGCCACCGACAGTGCCGAGGTTGTGAGGTGCTAGGAAGTCGTAGACCCTGATCCATCTATTCCCTGGGCCGACGGAGACAAGATCCTTTGATTCCGAGAGCTCTAGGGCGGTAAGGTTCTGAAGAGAAATGAGGATTCCGTCGGAGATGCTCGCGCTCCCGGGGAAGGGGGTGTGCCCCCCGGAGCGCACCGCGAATGGCACGGAGAAGAAATTGATGATTTTAACCGACTTTGCTACATCTTGTGCCGAAGTCGGCATGAAGATCGCTTGAGGGGGCAACCATGCTCTCATGGACCTATCCCGATTCCGCCGTATTAGCGCCATGCTCGCTCACTCGATCAACCAAACAACCCGGGCAGGGGGAGGTCGGACTCACCAATTAATACTCATACTGGCGTTATACCCAGGCATATCCGGCAACAACGTTTTGTTAGGGAATAGTAGAGTGAGAATCAACACCGCAATGCCTTGCCAGATCCCCTGGCTCCCAGAAGCAAGCCCATACTCACTAATCTTCTGCAAACCGGTAGCCGGGACGCCCAAGTCGCTGGCAAAAGTAGTGACTTCCGAAGGAGTAATCATGGTGATCGCTTTGTTTATCCCTCAGAAGAAGAGGATGGTGATGGTGAAGAAGGAAAGGCTTGTTATCGTCGTAGCACAGAAGATAGCGATTCCAGGTAAACTTCAGGGAGGAGGGGGATTCTTATATCCCTATCTGCCCCTCTTATCCCCTACCAATGCGCCCACTCTCAATCACAAACCGCCGGCTTCAAATCATCCGAGTATACCGCTACTCGGGCAGCAAACATCCCCAGACCATGCGTATGATGCTAGGATACAGTACGGTAGGGGTGTCGGGGAAGAAAGTGCTAATCGTCAATTACTCGCGGCAGAGGGGAGGTGCCGGTGTGGAGAAGGAAAGCACCGCATAGCAGCATACTGGTCTGCACCTTGCCAGTCCAATCTAACTAACCCAAAATCTCCTTCCCCCCCCCACAGGGCTCGACCTCCCGATCGTGCGATACCATAAAAGCACTGCTGCGGTGCAATCTTCGTATCCCAATCATCAAGAAGGTAATCACCGTTTGTGCTGGTACCAGCACTGTTGACATTACATCTCGGGGTGGGGTGGGGGGCTGTTACTTCCTTTTTTTCGCTTTCTCTCTTCCTCTCCCGGAATTACCTGTTACTGATCCCTCGAGACAGAAGCCCTACCACTCAAGATAAGCATAATAGCATAATACCCTCCCGCTCATCCGCTCCGCCTTCCCATATGATATACTTTACGCTCACCGCCAACGTGAGTTGCTAGCACTCTGGTATTCTCGTTTTCGCTCCCGCCCGGTTACGTGGTTGTGGGTACGCACGGCGCTGTGGCTTGCAGTGAGCACAGCTAACCGTTACCATTAAAGCTGTACCGTCAACAGGGGGATGGCATGTTCACGCAGGTCAACTACTTGGCAACTCACAAAGCATCCAAACACCCTAGAATTGATTGGTGCCTCACCTTGCCTGGGTACTTTCTAAATTTCCCGGCAAGCTAAAAAGTACTGGTGGTATTTGATTACCGTACTGTATTGGCCGGTGCCCGGGGGATTGCAGGGAACAGTACTCGGTGTGTGCGCGAAAGGCCTGTCGAGCTGGTTGGGGGAGAGGAATGTGGAAAAGAGGAGGGAGATTTCGGAGAGAGCGAGGGAGAGGAGCAGGCGGAGCAGGTTGGGGAGGAAAGGTGTGGAGGTTGTCCAAAGACGGCAGTATCCGGTGCAAGTGCCTGCATGATACAGTTTCTGGGGGGGATCTGAGGAGGATGGACCAGGGGGTGGGAGGAGTTGGTTCGACTTACGGTAGGGGTTGGATGAACTACAAGTACCTGTACGAGTACAGTCGACCCCACTATCCCGGATAGCCAAAATCCGAAGAATCTATCCGGAACAGCGAGGATCCGGGACAATGGGTGAGGTTTTGGTGGAAAGAAATCCAAAACTCACAGAGATTCATACGGGACAGCGAGGTATCCGGATTATCGAGATCCGGGATAGCGGGGTGTGACTGTGCTGTACTCGAGTACACACGAGTGCCATGATATGGAAATGCGCCACACACATAATTTCCTGGTGGTTAGGCATACCGGAATATCATACCGATAGTGCGCTAGGGCAGACCCTTTTTAGCACTGTATAGAGAATCCGAAATGGAAAAAGCAATTGAGTCTTGGTCGGCAAGCTTGATGCCGACAAAAATATATTGCGGTGTTTTCGAAAACAGAACACTTCCGAACACCCAGAGCAATCTTGACCCCAGAGAAAGAACTACTTGTAATATCACAGTAGGGTAGTAGATGCTCCTCCACTGATTCCACTAATGCTGCGCAAAGGAAAAAGCGGCAAGGGGCCTGAAAGGTAGAGGGGGAAGGAAGATGGATGGCGATGCTGTGTTACAGCAGTGATATATTTCCCTACACCGCTATTTTCTCTACTCCTCAACCACTGCGCCTCCCACTGTTTCCTCCTTGGTATGGGGTAAGCGGAGGGAACCTACTGCTGAGCTATGGTATTAATTTTTTGCCTTGGAGTCGGCTTGCTATGAGTGTCGGGGGATTTCACAATATGCTTTCGTCAGTACGAGGCGAACAGGCCCTTAAAGAGAGAAAGAGAGAGAGAGAGAAGAGAAACAAGTCTGTCCAAGGAGGCGCCCGGGCCAACAACCAGAGGAGGCTGGTCAGATTTGCCCTTCACACCCAACACCGTACAGCGGGGCCATGGACAACTACGATATCGGTATCTGGGAGGAAAGGTTCCACCAGCAGGCAATAAGGGGACAGCCACTTTTGGCACAAATGTAACTGCTGCTCCAGAAATGCTTGTATCTGCAAGGGTCAAGGATAAGGGATTGTTACTCGACTCGAGTACGACGGAGCAGGGGTGTTGATGCTGATTTTTGTCGAAACCAGCACCAGGCCGCGATCACCTCATGGGAGAACACAAGCCTTCCGTTGTTCTTGTTCGACTGGGGCCCGGAGAATGTTATCCTCTTCGATAGATGTATCGAACCAGAGGCCGGGCACCCGATCCATCAACTGCATTCCAGAGTTGGCCGGGACAAGAGGAAAAGGAGAAAATGGAGATCCTCTGGCTGAGCTGAAATTTAAGTTACGCACTGTCCCAATACTTTCACCCTTAAACCCTGCAAACCGTACTGAAGATACTGTACTCGTACATACGTACTAGTTGGACAAAAGTCGGATCCACTTCCGAAAAGAGATGTGGAATTTGTGTGCAGACCAAACCATATTAGGAAACTCAAGTGATAACGAGTGGGAATTTTTTGGTGTCGGCAAAAAGTCGGGTCCACTTTGTGATGGTACTCGTGGGGTGTCGCTCGGCTCCAGGCGGGCCTGGGAACCCATTTTAACTGGCATGTCATCAGTCCGCTATTACAACTACGGTACTCGTACTGTACTGGTACCAGTGCCTGCATTCCGGCACCTATCTGAGTGATCGAAGTACGAGTATATGCTGTTGCCACCGCGCCCGGAGGAGAATCAGCAGCCACAACGGATATCTGGCTATAAACATTGTGGGAGTGCGGAGTCGAAGAGTGGGACAGTGCCTCACCCACCTTAACCCCTTAACCGGGGGTGGCTGCTGGCTTAACCCAACTCGACATACCCTAGCGCTCCATAACGTATAATACAAGTACCTGGTACAGTATTACTGGTATGATAGCATGCCAGCTTTGGAATGAGAAGCGGGTCGGACGCGGAGGTGAGATCATTTCGTTTAATCCCGGTGTGCGAATTTTGGTCGAATCTGCACTGCAGGCAGGATTTTCGCCAAAATCGTACAGTACCCCTGAATCCAGCAAAAGAGAAAGGGCAAACCTACAGTAACTTACGGGCACCATGCCATCGGGGGAAAAACAAAATAAATCCCATCACACCCGTATCATACTTGCACTCCTGAACCTTTCCACTCCCCACTGTTGGGTGTCGATTGTGAGTTTGCAGATCTCCCTTTCTTTTGGTGTGTATTTCCAACCGATTCGCTCTCCCATCTGGCCCGCTTCCAGGTCCACTTCGTTTACCATTGCATGATGAGTTAAGTTACCTGTAACCTCTCCCTTCTTCCTGTAACGCTAACGATTGGAGACAAGTCTGACATGTGAGTCGCGGCCTGGGGCGAGCTCCGTGTTTTCGCACCCGCAATCAATCGTTCCCACTACCGTATGGCACTTTTAGTGCTATATTTGTACCGACGAGGCATACCCCCCCTCTCCATCGCCTTACAGTGCCGAAGAATTTATTCATGTCGCCGGATTGAAGTCGCGTTTTTTTGGCGGGTCACCACCAAAGTGGAAGCGACTTCGATCCGGCGACATGGGCATCTCCAGATCAGAGCATCGGCGGAAATAATCCCCACGATAGGTCTGGTTTGATAGGTCAACGGTATTATATTTCGAACTCCCGCCAAGGAGATGCGACGCGTCCAGTGAGGCGATCTTACGAGCACTGTGTCGGGAAAACTCTACTCGAGAACGATCCCTGAATCCGTTTGCGGATTTCGCAGCTTTCTTGCCCGGTTAATGGCCGGGGAGCTCTTGCTGTGACCTGCTACCGGCACAATAGAGAACATCTACACCGTTGCCACGCTTGAACCATTCCTAATCTCGGAATACTCTACTCGTGGGGAGCTGGGGGGTGACAGATAACTTGCAGACGAAGGGATAATCCTGCTCAGGAATTCTTGTCCCCGAGCCCGGAGATTAACAGGGCTGGTGGAGAAGGTGGATTTCGAGAGTATCCTTTCCTTTCCTCTCCTTCTTCTCTCTTATTATTTTTTGCATTGCAAGTAGAAGTACGCGTAGCAGGCAGCGTTTTACAGGTATGATGATACCTGCAAGCTGAAGCTATAATAGGGTATGATATGATGGCGGAAAGCATTGCTAATCCAGCTTGACTTTATTCTATATTATAATGTTACCATTTTTTACATTACTACACTACCGGTATGCCGAATTATTACCTCTCACGGTAACTAGCAAGCGAAGGGGAGAACACCGAACTCGTACAACACAGGATATCGTGCCTGGCCAAAAACCGGTATCATAGTTACAGCGCTGTAACATAACCCGAGTACCTGTAGTCCACAGTAGAGAGAGGGGGGGGGGGTGTTGGGTTATCGGTTCTTGGGTTTTTATCATGCCGCACACCCGGCGTGAAGCGAAGTACTACGAGTACGGTACAAGTGCCAGGGATAATGTTTTCGCACAGTTAATTTAGGTTAGCCCGCAAAATAATCCCTGTCTTGTACGAAAACATCTCCCCTGGCACTTGTACCTATTGTACAGCACCAGTCAGAGTAGCGTGGCAAAGCTCGGAATCAACCTTTTGCTGCATTATGACACAACCAAAACCCTTCGAAGAACGACAACACCTTCAGATGCCATCAACTTGACTAATGTTTTCCCCTATGATACGAAATGATTCTTCCGGCTTTCCTCTTAAAAAGCTGACGCAGGATTGACCGGATCTGGAAGGTTGGCACTTTGCATGGCGAAAAAATAAAAAAGATGTCTTTTTTTGTCCTTTTTTGGCACAATCATGCAAATATATCGGCTAATAAATCAATAAGGCAGGTCAATTACTTTATACCAGGACTAACTCGAGTAGTGCATTGACCGACCGGTACGGTACAGTACAGTACTCGTATAGTACAGTACAGAGGATCCACGGCAACTCCCAAAGTGCCGGCTCTATGCTCCGTAGCAGGCAAGAAGTATGATATTCGAAAAGGGAAAAGAGAAAGAAGAAGAAAACAGGGGGGGTTTGTGAAATTGTACTCGTACTAATAGTGCTCGTACAGTGCGTAATCGTACTGTACGAGTACTCTACACTTACGAGTATAGTACCAGACACAGTGGACCGGAACCCAGGGATTAAAAATTTGTACGAGTACAGTACCTTGTACTTGTGTCTCAGTATGGCAAATTGTCCGTGCGGGTCCGAGAAACCTCGTAACTCAATAAAGTCCGGACAAAAATGATCGGGTTCACTATGCCTGGTACAGTGCTTGTACGTATATGATATGATACAATAAGGTGTACCCGAAAAAAAAAACAGGGGAAAGGGTGCTTTGTACTGTACGAGTACTCTATAAGTATCACAACGGGGCTCGGATACGGTACATGTACCGTACTCGGACGTGGGGATGGAGGAGAGAAGGGAAGGGGGTAGTCTACCGGTAGTCTCCCAGCTCGTTAAAAAATAATAATCGGAAACGAGAAGTGATTCTTGCCTGGGTCCGAACCGTAACTACTCGAGTCCTAGTAAGGAGACTAAAGATCTTTTGGGGATGACGGCGAAACAGAGTGGGAAAACGCCCGTGCGTTCCGAGCCAAGATTTATTGTAGCGCGCCCACTCGTTCCTAGTTAGCGGGTGGCACAACTCATTCTCTCTGCTACGGTACCGTACCGACCGTACCGGGTATACAGTGTAGTCTAACCATGATACGGTAGTATTAGAGACTTTGCGATTTCGCATCCAGAGTCAAATTCTAGCGATCTCATTGGACCAGAACCCTGTTTGACCCACATCCAGAGTCTTTTCGCAAAGTCCCTATTATATCGGAGCGAGTATGATGCTAGTCTAAATTTAACTCTTCACAGGAATTTTAGCAACTCCGTTTCACCAACTCGTTCCCCGGACAGTTAGGCTTCTACCGGTACAGTACTATGGTAATTCGGTACTGTACGAGTAGAGTACGAGTACACAGGCTCCGCGCTACCAATAAGCGATACGTACGGTACCATACCCCTTCGGCGGAAAAGAACCGGTTGCCACTGGCTAGGACAAATGGGGTACTGGAATTTGGCTATGATGATGCTAAGTAAATTATCGTACGGTATCATATGGAAGCCGAAGAACACGACGGTAGCGGAAATGGAAGGCGTAGGTAGTCTGTATAAGAGTTGCCAGAAGCTATTCTGGAAACAGCCGGCTCTTCGAGACGGTGAAAGGTCCCTAATAATCTAACGGTTAGATCTCGGTTCCTATGATATCCGTTCAAGCTCTGTGCGGCAGCATCAGTCGACCGAGCCGGAGGGTTGGCTTCTGTGACTTGGTACCGGTATTGCCGTACTCGAGTATATTTACAAGTGGGGTCCGAAAAAGTGAGTGGGCATCAGGAATGATAGTTTATGCCGGGAAAAGCCGACTCTACTTGGTTATGATTTCTGGCAAACAATACCTGTGCGGTATGGTGCCAAAGACGGGGCAGCTCCGCAGAGTGCCTGGAAAAAGACGCAGAGTGTTACACTTCAATTGTGACCTTAATTGAATTTGGATTCCTGGAAGTGGTGGTAGCTGTGCTGAGACTATTATTTTTGGTGGGAAAGTTGGACTGAATACTAGACTACCGGCACAGTATCATACTCGTAAGCATTACTCTTGTAGAGTCAGGAATTAGGTTGAAATTTGTATATAATATTATGTATATGATATATGGAAAATGTTTGTTATTATGATACCGTTTTCGGTGTTTATTTCATGGCTTGCTATTTTTGCGGGCATGTGTCATACCCAGTCACATTTTCGATCCTATACACTTGTATATCCTCGATACAGTAATTTATCCATTTTTTTTTACTTTTATTATTCCCCATCTATCATACTTATAAACACCGCTCACCCCCCCGATGAACAATCCCTGCTTAGTGCTCGAGTACAAGTAAATAGTAACAAGTACTTGTACGGGCACATCGCCACCCACAATATCCAGCTTCCGACTCCCAAGGAGCCTCCCGAGTACAGCGGGTAAGATAGTAGGGGGAACATCCAAAAGTTAAAAAGAAGAATTTTCAGTAAGAAGTTACGATAAAGGGGGCCGTCTTGCATTAAGTTAGGGTACATACTTTATTCCATCAGCCTATACGGTAGTGTTGACAGATTTCAGGTTGCACATTTGGGGGCCCATCTACAGAAATTTGTAAATACAGTAGCTGTAAAGATTACCAGTAGTTGTGAATTGACATGGAGGAGGAGGAGGGGCTCAGTGAAAAGATCTCAGCCAATGACAATTTTGTTTTTAGTCTGTTCATGGAAGCATCCTCTGTTCATTGATACCCTTGCCTTTGTCAGTTTACTCATGATGGAGAAAAAACTCATTTCTCTTACTTATGACACCTTTGTTACGGACATTTTTTACCCTCCATCCCGACATGAAAAATTTCATATAGCATGGTAAAGTAGAGCACTGGTGGATTAACTCTTTTCTGTATCCACCAAACTTACATGAAACAGCAAAGCGAGCCAGATTCCTTCAGCTTTGAATATTGTGATACCCCTAGTAAGTAAGTTACCATACCGTACGCACAGATCTCTCGCTTGTTGCGGTACGATACGATACGATACGATACGATACGATAATTACACGTGCGTCATGGTACAAAGTGCTTCCCCACGAATCCCTGTCTCAGGGACTCTTTTTCTTTCCTGGTAATGTCATGCCTACAATACCGGTACCTACCTACTCGTACCTACCAGTGCTAGCTAGTACTGTGCAGATCTGTGCCATAATATTATTGTGGAGCCCCGGCGCTTTTCCCACACCGCGAACGACACAAACACATGCTCCAAACTAAATATAGGCTGTTTTTTTATTTATTTTATCTTTTAACCGCTGAGATATTGTTGCGGTGAGGTAAGGTGAGTTACATATTTGTGTGTCTAGCTTGTTTACTGAGCGGTGATGTTTCTACTCCCCCCCCCACCCCTTCCAGCCCCGGCACTTGGGATTGGTTGGTCTTTTTCGGAGATTTCGAGCTATGATACTCCGTACAGTATTGTCGCTTGGTACAAGTACTCGGGTACAGTAGAGAGGGGTCCCCGAGGGACAGGGGGTGGTTGTGGGGGGTACCGTGGCGCCCACGTTAATTGTGAAATTTTAGGTCATCGTACCAATGTGTGTGCCCGTTTTTGGGGAGTGTGTTGGCCATACACCATTCTTCTGCATGGATAGTATGATAATATCGTAATAATACCAATATTATTGTATGTATGTTATCAGCCAAACGAATCACGATACCACGGATATCGATTCCAAATGCCCGCACCACAAATTGCTCGTACTTGTACCACTGCTCGAGCAGCAGTAAGAAGGAAACCATTACCGGTAGTACGGTACTCGAGTATCATCACACTTTGCCTTCCCCCCCACAAACATCCCCCCCCTTCAACCGCAGCTGGCACTGTACCGTTCTCAGTTCGCAGACCCCACCAGACACTCTATCACCGTGGCGATCGATACCTTTCCGGGTATATGACGCCGGTGAGCAGAGTTACCGGACAAGTATAACACAACGCAGTACTAATGCTTACAATATCATATCACACAAGTAAGCACTGTACCATACCAATTCCCACCAACCAACCAACCGGCAGATGGCGGAAGCGGAGAGGCTCAGCTAACTCACAACGGATCAATCGCTTGGGGCAACCCAACCCAGCCCAGCCCAGCCCAGTCTACTCGACGTTAATCTAGGAATCACCCAATACCCCTCCGTGCGTCTCCAACCGACATCAGCTCTGCCACGCGAGCACAATAACAGCACGGTACCGGTACTGCTACTCGAGTACTGGGGCCGGCAGACCGCCTCGTTTTCCGGAAGGCGTGCGTGCGTGCATGCATGGCTACGGGTGTCGGTATTCGTATTACGGTATGATACGAATACGGTACTGCAATTTGCCTTACTACAGTGGGAGCTTCATAAGGACCTCCCGATGAGAGAAGAAGGTGCAATACAATACAATACAATGCGATGCTGGTACCTAGGCGCCCCCCCTCCCCGTCTGGGCTTGATAGTGAGTGAGTGTCGATGCCAGCATTGCGGCTGTGCATTGTATAGTATAGTACCGCTGGATGATGCTGGTTCTTGGAACCGTGTACTGGTACTCGAGTACATTGTAGAAGTGCCATTTGGGGGTCTGCGGACGTTAATCGTCGGGGGTTAAGTCACGGGGGAGGGTATTTCCGGGCACGATTATCCGGATGACGTGCTGGTGTAGTGTGCTCCTGGTGGGCTTGTCTCTTCGCCGACTAGTATGATATGATGCCCCTTTAAGCATGGACTCTCGATCGAGCCATGATAAACGCCTTCCTCAATAGATGGATCGGGAGGGAGAGAGAGAGAAAACAAATCTATTTTTCTATATACAGCACAGCATCGGATACCCGAGCATCCAGAACCCGAAGAATAGACACAGGACGTACACCCCTTCACCCAACATCACCACAAACCCAACTGCCCCCGCGAGAGCACAAGCCCCCACCTCAATAAACTGAAAACACCCCGTCAGCAATGCGCCCCCCCTCTCGCGGTGAGGGGAGAAGACGACTCCCGTCGAGGCAGGGTTTGACATACCTTCAAGCACATATCTCAGACCCTCCTTCAACTCCTCAATCTTCTTCGCCCCGTCCATCCTGACGCCCCGCCTCCTGCCCTCCACGACTATGGCTTCCTGCAGCACCTCCGTCACGTCCGGAACCGGCCACGTGGGGCCGCATAGGTAGAAGGCTCCGTCCTCCTTGATGTATGCCTCGATGATGTCGTCGAGTGTTTGGCGCATCCGGTCCTGGATGTATATCTTCTCGGGCTGGTCGCGGGAGAATGCGCGTCCGAGCAGGGTCACGATGCCAGCGGCTTGGTAGGCTTCCCACTCTTCCCCGTACAGGTATTCTTCCCGCTGATGGCGGGAGCCCATGTACAGCAGGACTGAGCCAACGTCCACGCCTTGCGACTTTTGCCACGCACGGTATTGGACGAAGGCTCGGAATGGGGCGAGGCCGGTTCCGAGGCCAGCCATTATGAGGGGCTACGGCGGTTCGTGAGTATTTGCATGTTTTGGTATTTTATTCTATTCTCACGATAGGGCAAACCTTACCTGTGTGGCCAAAGGAGGCAGCTTCATGACACTGGGCTTGACACTAACGGTGACGTTTGCTCCGATTGGTAGACGACTGAGGTACCTCGTCGCCTGCCCGAACCTATCCCTTCCCTTTGTATCCACCCAATTCACCACAACTATCAGGAGGTGCACACTATTGGGGTTGACCTTCTGACTGGAAGCGATGGAATACTCCCTCCTCTTTAGCGGGCTGACAATCTTGACAAGGTCATAAAAGTTCGGATGGGCCGACTTGAACTCGAGCAGAATATCCGCAAAAGTGGCCGTATCTACCTCTGCCCTCCTCTTGAACTCCGTGGCCCCCTCCGCCGAGGATAGCGTAAGCAATGCCTTCTTCTCCCCCTCATCCATAGCAAACTCGGCCAGCGACTCATAAAACTTCTTTGGTGGGCGGCCAAATATGTCCACGTTCTGCGACAGCGCTTGGAACACTGTGCGCATTTCGAGCACGTCCGGGTCGTCCTTGGACGGGACCTCGACAATGTCGTCCGCTTTCAGGCCGTAGAACTTTATGAACTCGGAGACCTCCTCCGCGTCGTTTTGGGAGTGGATGCCTAGGGCTTCGCCGATTTGGTATTCCATTCCTGTACCGGTTAAGTCAAACTCGATGTGGAAGATATTGCGGTCGTAGTGCTCTGGTGTCAGGCGTTTGTTCTCCTGGACTTTGACGATATAGTTCTTCATCGAGAGGTCTGGACGCAGGGCGGATTGAACATCGTAGGCTTCTTTGAAGGCGATTGCCTGCGCTGCCGATTGTGAGGCCTTGAGTGCTGAGGCGGGCTCCGTGATGTGCTTCTCGTCGTTAATGGCGAAACTAGTTGTTTGTGGGATTCTAGGGAGGTTGTTGGGCTCGTTATCTTCCTGGGCGTCGGCCCATTCCTTTGGAATCTTGACTTTGCGTAATGAGCTATCAAGCTTTTCGGAGGCCTGGCGGACGGCAGACGAATCAGGGTTGAGATATGAGAGCTCCTCTAGGGGTGAACTGATGTTGGCGAGTCTGGTGAAGGCCAATTGGACGAGGGCGTTCTCCACTGCTGCAGGGGCTTCCTCTCCGAGGGCTGAAGGGTCCACGATGATTAGGTTGATGGCCTTCTTGGTGACTGCACGTCTGAAAGGCGATGGGAGCTTCTTCTCAAATTCGTCGTCCTTGATAGTCGACTTGAGAAGAATGATCCCGCTATCCCTGGTCCGGCCGGCAATATCGAACTTGGAAAGAAGCTGGATATCACTGACCACGGAGATGTCCGCGTACTCGATGTGGAAAGGTGCATCAATGGCGCTGGAACTGGCCCTAATCTCGGAGTGAAGGATACCGGACAGCGGGACGTTATCATACGCAGCCTGGAAAGAAACGCTCTTGCGAGGATCCCGCGAGAGAAGCCTGGAAACGATTGAGGCCGCGGGTGCAGAAGCAGCGTCGTCACCGTCCCAGAAAACGTACTGTTGAGCATGGCTACCATCTCCCAAAAGACTGAACGAGTCGATAGTGGATGCCTCGGCGGTGAGTTCCTCCTCAGGAATCTCGACAACAACATTGCGACTGCGGGCAATCTGGTCGAAGATCCAAGCCAATTCCTTTGGCGACCAGACCTGCTCTCGGGCGTACTTGACATCGACTATCGGCGGTGGGAGGGTCCAGATATCAGACATTGTGATTGCAGCCACGACATCAACGTAAAGAGCCGACTGAACAGTGCTATCCTCTGCCGCGGTCTTGTTTGCTACCTGCCCGAGAACAGCGATTCTCTTGACGGACTTGGGGAGCGCCTCGAGGAAGTGTGATTCCGAGAATGGCCTGTAAACACGAACTGCAATAACACCAATCCTCTCCCCAGACTTGACGAGCGAAGCAGCGACTTGAGTCGCTAGCAGGCTCTCGACAGATCCAAAAGTAACCAACACAGCATCAGGTTCATTGTGACCCTCATACTCGAACAAGGAATAAGCGGTCCCGAGCTCTGCATTGAGACTTCTCAAGATGGCATTGACCTTTGCTCCCTGATCAGCTTTCTTCGGCGCCTCCTTCTGCTCCTCCAGGATGGAAGAGAAGACGTTCTGCAAACCGGCCTGGTCAAGAACACCCCTGATCTTCGCGGATTCCCGGGACACACTAACTCCGTCGTAGATATGCACCGTGGGGAGAACGGTAGCAGCAAGGGTAGCGAAAAGAGCCATGTGCTGCGCCTCATGTGCGGAGAACGAAGCTAAAAGACCCACTCCAGTCTCCTGCGCAACGGTAATGGCAGAAGCATAGTCCGCGACCAATTTCGCCGAAGACATTTCATAATCGACGGCGGAAATGTGAGCGACGAATGGCGAAGAAGCGCGGTACAGGGCGCTCAATTGGTCCAAAGCTGAGCGCATGTGGGTGAGCGCCAGAGAAGACGCAATTATTGACTTTGCAACAGCCTTCTTCTCCGGATCCACATCGGGGGAGAACACGTATCCGAGGAGGACATTCGCAGCGCCAAGTCTTGTCTCCATAGCATTAACAGTGGGGACCACTCCACGAACGTTGGTCTGCTCATTGCCACTCCAGAGCTTCGCCGCTTCGTCCAGTAAGAAGGTGTCGGGGGAGTATGTGAACAGCTTATCAGAGAGGGTATATGCTACTTGCTGAACGAGGGTCTGGGCAGTCGTGTACAGTGTTCCGCTCACGGATGAGATATTTACGGGAATTGAATGGGGGAAGACCGGTGAGACCACCTCGAGGGGGGGTTCTACTCCGTTTGGGTGTGCCATCCTCTCCGCCAATGCTTGCTCTTGTAGTTGAAACTTTGGTAATGAGCCGTTGGCTTGCCGATCCGGAGATGTGAAGTTAATTGGAGATTTCAGGAGGATTTGAGATGGCGAGGGGGAGATTGGAGAGGCCTCAAACGGAGAAGAGGGAGAGGTAGTAGTAGAGGTTTAAGAAGGTTAAGGATTGGAAGCTAGCTTGGTAATGAGAGACCTCTACCTCCGGTCTAGAGGAAAGGTGGTTGGGAAGGGTGGGGGGGGGTTAATTAAGAGGTAGAAAGAACACACAAGAGTGAATGAAGAGAAGAAGGAAAAAACCTTTCAAACACGAGGCAGGGCTACTAATGAATTACTGGTGTTTTCGCCGGGGGGGCCAGACCGGAAGAATAGCCGCAGGACTTACTAAACAATCTATTCCTTTACCTTTTAATCCACCCTGTCATACATCTCCCCGTCCGTCAGAGGCGGAAGAGGGAACGGGTGAGTGTGGGGATACCCGCACCGTGCTTTATGACCTTTTTACACTCACAAGCAGCGCCCATTCAGACCTTCCAATCCATCACCAATAATGGCCTTACTCCACCTCCAGAAGATCGTTGCACTGCAACCGTCTTTTCCCCCGCATGGAGTCTCTAGGCAACTGGGTTTGTGATTCTCAGGATCTCTCTTTTTTTTTTTCCTTACGATATTTCTCTTTTTTTCTTTTTCTTTTCGTTGTTTGCAGGGGGCGTGTTGGGAGGTTGAGCACGCCATAACGGGTGACTTTGACGCTATCATAATATTATTATTATATGACAATTTCTTATCGATAAGCTGTTATTACTGCAAGGGGTTTGGGGAAGAACTGACTAGGCTCAATTGATCCATCGGCGGATTAGATTAGATTAGATTAGATTAGATCCGAATGTTTTTCTTCGGCTATGATACCGGTAAGTTAAGGGAAGAAGAGCGATTAGGTTGATGTGGTAATGGCAGATTAGATCTGTGCGGGAGAAAGAGAGGGAAAAAAAAAAACCCCCGCACCTCTAACGGGAGTCTAAGGGGAGCAGCAGGTGGCGTGATCCTCGTTGGGTCGAAAAAATGGAAATAAAAATAATTTAAAACCTTCCGCCCCGAACATCCGGCACCTCCATCCCCACCATCCACCAACCCACTAACTTGAACCCGATTATTAGCGATCCATCAACCCCTGCACAATGTCCAACAACGACATCTACCAAACGCCACTGGCATCCCGCTATGCCTCGGAGGAGATGGCCCAACTCTTCTCCAACAAGAGACGTTTCCGCACCTGGCGTCAGCTCTGGGTGTGGCTTGCAAAGGCGGAGAAGCAATTGGGACTGTCCATCTCTGACGAGGCTATTTCCCAGATGGAAGCAAACCTCGACCTCACCGACGGGGACTTCAAGGTCGCGGAAGAGGAGGAGAAGCGGAGACGGCATGACGTAATGGCCCATGTATATGCATTTGGACAGGTGGCCCCGGCGGCTGCGGGGATTATCCATTGGGGCGGTATGTCTGCCAGTACTGCTAACCCTAGTTGACGCTGATATTGATATATTGGGAAATGATTAGCCACCAGCTGTTACTGCACCGACAACGCCGACCTCCTCTTCCTCCGCCAAGGTCTCGACATACTCCTCCCCAAACTCGCCAACGTAATCCACAAACTCTCAAAATTTGCTCTGGAGCACAAGGACCTGCCGACGCTGGGGTACACCCACTTACAACCGGCGCAGCTCACAACCGTCGGGAAGCGGGCCTGCCTCTGGATCCAAGACCTCCTCATGGACCTTCGCAACCTAACCCGCGCACGCTCTGACCTCGGCTTCCGCGGCGTGAAAGGCACAACGGGAACACAAGCCTCCTTCCTGGCAATCTTCAACGGGGACCACGACAAGGTCGAAGAATTAGACAGCCTGGTGACCCAATTCGCTGGCTTCGAATACGCATACCCCATCACCTCACAGACCTACTCGCGCAAGGTGGATGCGGATGTCATCTGCGCCATGAGCTCCTTCGGTGCTACGTGCCAACGCATTGGCACGGACATCAGGCACCTGGCGGCAGTGAAGGAAATGGAAGAGCCCTTCGAGAAGGACCAAATCGGCTCGTCGGCAATGGCATACAAGCGCAATCCCATGCGCAGCGAGAGGATGTGTTCCCTCGGCCGACATTTAGCGAACCTGTGCAAGGATGCCTTCGACACCTACTCCCAACAGTGGTTCGAGAGAACCCTGGACGACAGCGCTATTCGTAGGATCGACATCCCCCACGCCTTCCTAACAGCCGATGTCCTCCTACGCATCCTCGATAACGTCGTTAGCGGACTGGTGGTCTACCCCGCCGTCATCGCCCGTCGCATCAGGGAGGAGCTCCCGTTCATGGCAACGGAGAACTTCATCATGCGCATGGTCGCCCTCGGCGCTTCGCGTCAGGACGCGCACGAAGCCATCAGAGTCCTTTCCCATCAGGCTTCTGCCGTCGTCAAGCAGGAGGGTAAAGATAACGACCTCATCGAGAGGATCAAGAAGGACAAGTTCTTTGAGCCCATTTGGGGTGAGATTGACGGCTTGATGGATCCTCGGACTTTTGTCGGGAGAGCGCCCGAGCAGACAGCGAAGTTTGTCGAGATGCAGGTTAAGATAGCGTTGGAGCCGTGGACCGGAGCGCTGAGTGCGGCGGTTAGTGAGCTGAATGTTTAGATTTGTCGTGATAGAGGTGAAAATTTCCTATGGAACGGAACGGGTGATTTGTTTCTTGTACAGTTTCGGGCTTCTTTTAAAAAAATACAAGGTTAGATGAGAAAAAAGTTCCCAGAATATGACAAGTGTCCGGTAGGCCATGGTATCGCATGCATGTTGTGCACAGTCGATAACAGCCAACCAAAGCAAGAAGAAAGTAACTTGGCCCACCATCAAGTATCACAAAGCAAAAAGAAAAAAGAAAAAAGGTTAATTCCAAACGCCCCGCCTCTCCCATAACAACACAAGACAAAAATGTAAGAAGAAAAGAAGGGGGGGGGGGAAAGGCCAAAATCAGACCAAACCATCATCGTATCGCAAGCATGATAACGAACATCAACCCCCCATACCAACAAGCGCCTCCCAGGCCTCCATATCCCTAACTCTGGCCTTAGCAACCCCGTCGTCAACCTTATTCTCCTTCATCACATCCCCCAAATTCCCCGCCCCCAGCCCCTCTCCACCACAAATCGCATCCGCCCGCTTCGCAACCTGTTCCAATCCGACGAGCAAATCCTCGACTTTAGCAACGGCCTTCCTGTTCTCCTCCGTCTCGCGACGGGTGCGCTCTAGCTGCTCTTCCATGCGCAAGCAGAGCGTTTCGCGTGCTTGGTGGGGCCGGTATTCGTTGATGAGGTGGTGCATGTTGAAAAGGATGGTTTCTAGGTCTGCGGTTTTTTCGTGGAACTACGCAAACAAACAAATTAGCTTTGCAATCCTGAGGGACAGAGAGGGAAAGAGAACAAACCTGCTCCGGTGCCATCCCCATAACCCCCACCAACTCCAAATAATTCAACAATAACGATTTGCTCAACCTCCGAAGCTCTATCGTCCTATCAACCGTGAGTTCCTTGCCCTTGTCCACTCTTCCTCCCCCACCACCATTCGCTGCTGCCGCCGCAGCCACGGTTGTTGGCGGGTACAGCTGTCGAATACCAGCCTCCTCAAGGGAAGGGTATCGCTCAGGAACCATCCATTCCTCGCCGAAAGCGCGGTAAGACCCAGCCGGGGGTGGGGGGGGGACTAGGTAGCAGAGCGGATCGGGGAGGGATTCGGCGGGTGGGAGTGTGCCGTCTTCTCGGCGGTGGGATTTCAGCGCCGTGAGGTTTTCCTCGGTGAAGTGGGTGTAATATGTTGGCGGGGGTGGGAATGCGCTTGAGAGGGCGCCGGGAGGGGGTTCCTGGGGCATTGCTTGCAGCGGATGTTTGTGGTGGATGGATTGAAGTGATGGATGGATGGAGTGGTGGGAGCTCTGTTTTGCTCGGAGGTGTCGTGGGTGAGGCTGCGACTTGCAGTAGGATCAGGGAGGAAGAGTGCAGTTGTATAGCGTTAACCCAGGAACAGCATCCGGCGTCCCCAACCGAGTCCGGCCCAACAGGAAGTTTTGCTCCTAGCGTGGCCGATAGTATGCGGTCGTGACACCCCGTTATGATACGATACCGTATCATAGCCCTTTGCTCCTCCTCCTCCCTCTCCCTTTCCTCAACTCCCTTCCCCCCACAGCTCGTGGTTTCGAACTCCTACTCGCCCCACTCCTGCCCGACCTTGCAAGTCAAGCATCATACTACCGATAGTATACTCGAATACCCGTTAATTCGACCCTACTTCACCCCTGTGACAATAGCCCACCGCAACATTACTCCCCTCTCCCCCTCCCCCAGCAGCATAGCCCGCAAGAAGGGTGTAGGCGACCCTCTTTTCCCCTCGCTCCGCATCCGCACCTCTCCTAAAGCCTCCCGTAATTAAGCCCTTTCCTTGTCCCCTCTTTCCCCTAGTTGCCCCCCTGACTAAAGCGTGCAATTGCTAAACTAAAATGAAGGGGCGTTGAAAAAACCCTATAGTCCCTTCCAGGCCACATATTCCCGTATGGGACCATGCCCGGTTCCGCCACGCTAAATGCGCACAAAATGACCATGAACCCCGAACCAGGACTCCACGCAACAATCCGGCGATTCTGGCAGGTCCGTCCCCCCTTCCACCCCTCTCCCCTCTACTAACCAACCCCCTCCCCACAGCAATCCTACGGTCCAGACTGGCTCTCCCTCCTCCTCCTGGCCCTGGCAAACCTCGCCGTTGGCTTGATAGAACCCTTTCAGCGCATGTTCAGCCTCGATGACCGCACACTGCACTTCCCGCACGCGGAGATCGAGCGCGTGCCCGTCCCCATGCTCCTAACGTACTCCATCGCCCTCCCAACCCTCCTAATCCTCCTCTCCACCATATTAAACCTACACAAAACGCGCGAGCAGAAGCTCCACCAAGTGCACGTGTCCCTACTAGGACTAGCCATATCCCTAATGCTAACAACCTTCATCACGGACACCGTCAAAAACGGCTATGGCCGGCCAAGGCCCGACTTGATCGCCAGGTGTAAGCCGGAGGAAGGTACACCAGAGCACGAATTGGTCGGCATGGAGGTATGCACCGAGCAGGATTACCACACACTTTACGACGGGTTCAGGAGTTTTCCCAGCGGGCATAGTAGCTTTTCCTGGAGCGGTCTGGGGTTTTTGAGCTTGTTGGTCTCCCCCCCCTCCTCCCCACTCCCCCTCCACTCCTTCCCTCCCGGATACCGGCGAGTAATGATGGAGGTGGAACAGATTCCTCTTCGGCCAAACCCGGGCCCTTCGTCCTGGCAGTGACATGTGTCGGATAGTGATATCGGCCCTACCGTCACTTGGCGCACTCCTAATCACGCTTTCCAGAACGGAAGACTACAGGCACGACATTTACGACGTTAGCACCGGCACTCTGATTGGTGCTTCGGTTACATATTGGAGTTATGCATGTCCCCCCCCCCCACTTCTACTGTCCCTTCCACATTCCGATTGGCTAACAATTCCTCAGCGAAGATACTTCCCACCACTAACCTCCTCCTCATGCAACTCCCCACTCCCGCCCAGAGGGAGGGAAAATGAGCAGACCTATTCAAAGACGGAGTTTGAGATGATTCCTACGAGGCCGTCGACACCGGATCTAGAGACGGGGCAGGGGGCCTGAGGTTATACCTCTCCCCTCATAGGTGGATTATATGAGTTGTGTATTTATTCTGCGCTTCTTATGCGTAGGTACCTGTTATATAGAAATATCGTGCCCTGGTTAATATAGTCATTTTTTGGTTGGTTAGTAGTCCGAAAGCCGGACGTTTCGCATGATGATGATCATGATGGCAAGGTGCACGCCCAATCACCCGGCTGAAACCCCCACTTCCACGTGTTTAACAAGCGAGCAGCCTGCATCTCCTTCTCATGCTCGAGCACTAGTAGTCCAATGGATGAACGAGCTACCAACCATTTTCGGCACTTTCACCAGCTCACTGCATGACCGACACCCGACACCAATGAAGCCAATTGCAAATAAATAAATAAATAAATATAAATATAAATATAGAAGGTAGAAAAATAAAAAAGTTCACTGAGACCTTGGTACAGTATGATACCATAAGCGCCCCTTCTATCATTCTAACGTGCAACCGCCAATATGCTAACTGCAACTGTGGGACAGAGCAGACGCTTCCCACCCAATACCGGTCCGGTCCGATCCAATCATCTCCAACAATAGTAGAAAATCAGACAGGACATGCGAGATAATAATAATAATAATAATCGAAAATCAAAAACGCCCACCCCTCTGTAGATTAACGTTAAGGTTTCAGGAGTACAAACACGGACAACGCCTTTGGTCTAAGAAAAAAGGTCGATACAAGTATAAACGAGGGGGTATAGTCAACCTCTCATACAATCCGAGATGAGAGAAAGTCACCTATCCTCAAACTCGGCCCATCTCTTCTTCAAAATCTCCTCAAACTCCTTGAGCTCTTCGGGCGAGATGGGGTATGTGTGTTCGTTCGCAGGGTATGCCCTGCTCCTAACGTCCTCTATAAGGGGCATTCCCGTCAGTTTGTACCCTCCACTGAATATATGAATGCAAACTCACCCCGATACTGCCTCATAGCCCTCTTGCTCTCTTCGAAAACGTTCGCATACTGCTTCACAAACTTCGGCATAAATCTACCCTCCGGAAAGTTACCCAACATATCAATCTGTACAAGCACTTGACCCGAGCACCCATTACCCGCCCCGATACCGATAGTGGGAATCTTCAATTTCTCCGTGATCAATTCAGCTACGGGAGCAGGGACTGCTTCCAAGACAAGACTAAAACAGCCGGCCTCTTGAAGTGCTAGGGCGTCGGTGAGAAGCTTCGAAGCGCTAGCAGCGGTCTTGCCCTGCACAGTGAAGCCCCCGAGGGAGTGCGAGCGTTGTGGGGTGAGACCTATGTGACCAAGGACGGGGATGCCAATGGAGGTAATCCTAGATATTGTGGCGGCCAATTCAGTGCCGCCCTCGAGTTTGACGGCCTGGGAGACGTCAGATCAGAAGGTAGGAGTGAGGGTTGATCGGGTTAGAAAAGGACAGCAGCAAGAAGCGGATCGGGGCTAGGGTTCGGATGTGGGGCAGCATTGATGGGATACGGAATGGCGGGTGGTCCTCCACGTATTTCCGCTGCACCGCCCTCCGGTAATGAAAATGAGATGCGTGTTGAAAACCCAGCAGACTTCATTAGAGAACAGTAGAAAGATGGAGAGGAATTCACCTCTACTCGGCCATCCTGGATCATCCTGATAGAAGAGGCAATGGCGTGCTCGGGAGAAACCTCGTATGAGCCCATTGGCAGATCGCCAATCTATTTATACCGTCAGCTCCCGTAGCCCCACCGTTGTATCCCCCTAGGGACAGGTAAACCTGGAGCAAACCCACAGTAAAAGCGGACCGAACACCCCTCGAGACCGCGCGGCAATGGTGCAGTATATCCTAACGGGCTATTTGTCGGTAGCTCTACAAGGGGAAGCAAAGGGCTGAGCGTGTAGTTACGTCTAGTTTAACCTGGTTCGTGTCCTGCACACAATCAGCTCCTGTTGAAAGAAAGAAAAAAAGCAACACATCTGACACCACGAGTGATAATCTGTGAACAATTAATTACCTTCATTCCCAAAGCTACCATTGCCAACGAGTCCCCAACGAGAATCATATCCATACCTCCCTCATCAGCGACAAGGCCGGAAGGGAAATCGTGGGCTGTCATCATAGCGATGGGCGTTTTAGAGGCGTGCATACCCCGAAGGGTGTTTATTGTAACCTTTTTCCGTGGGGGTCCGGCTCTTGGCGAGATGGGCGAGTGAGAGGAGTGCCTGAGCTGTTGGCGTCCCAACACCCCTCCGCATAATGGGGCTCTACCTGCACCCGCTGTGGCGGTAGCTGCCGAACGGAAGCGAAAGAGTAGAGACGATCTTCGAAGATTCATTTTTGTTCGGAAGTTGGGAAGGTGTTGCGGGCTAGTTGGGGGGAATTGGGGGGAAAGGGTATAAAAAGGTGGAATCAGAGTCAGAATTTAGACTCGAGTTTCCTTTTGTTTTTGTTTGTCAGAAGTGTGACAGTGACACTGGGTGACAGTATCCTCATGTTTTGGGGGTCCCCAAGTAACATTTGAGCCCGAGGCCATGGGCTTGTGCCGGGGGGGGGGAGTGATCACGCTTTTCCTATTAGAAATTAGCCAATCCTTTCTTGTCTTTTTTTTTTCTTTCTTCCCTTACTGTATTCATCGTCCTGAATCCCATTTCCGTCCATTATTCTCCCATCTTGGAGGATGAGTGGGTGTTCGCCACAGGTGGAAAGCCGAACCCGGGGAAACATGAATCAACGGACCCATTAGTAATCCTCTCCTTGGGTGGAATCACCGAGGTTCCCTTCGGGCCAAGACGGTGACAGAAGTTTATCCACACATTGCCCCATTTTGGGCAACACAGCCGCTTTTGGAGCTGAAGACGTGCCAAGCCCTCTCCCTCTCACTCCGGATTTACGAGCTCGATCTAACCAGGGCCGGTCATATGCATCCCTCGGCATGATAAACAACGTATCGTAGGCCAAACCCCTCCCTCTCTCCCTCACCCTCTTGCTCCCCCTTTCCTCCTACTCGCCTTCTCCGTGCTCCACCGTGTTAACCCCACTCTGCGTTCTCCTCCTCTCCTCGCTTGACGTATAGGTGCCCGAATACAAATCTCAACCCCTCATTCTATTGTCTCGCATCGTCACCCGCGCTCAACCCCATATTCCCACCACTTTCGATACACCCGGTTGCCTCATTATCTAGCGTATCAGCAATCTCCCACCAACGCCCGGCCATAGTACCCCATCCGACCCTTCTATCTGACAACCCCCACCACCACCACCACCACCACCATCCTTTATCCTGCGCTGCACACGTCGCTAGATAAATAACCCCCACCTCGGCTCCATCAATCTTTCCAACCATCCTCCCCGCCTCACCTCCACAGATCAAACACGGAACAGCAGTTTCACGTCGGTTATCTAGAGATCCGCCGCCATGAGTTCTCCAAAGAGAAGGATAGAGACGGATGTGAGTTCTTTTAGCACTCTACACTTTACGTCACCAGAGGTACTGACCGTTTGTTTCCCGGTACGGTAGGTCATGAGGTACGATTTACCACCCCTACGCCATTCAAAGGGCTCTAAGAGAGCTCGACTCTCCCTCGGTGATGTTCTAATAATAGTTTGCTGACATTATTGCTTTCGCAGATTGTAAGTAACCTGAAGGCCACTTCGAATCAGCCCTCCCTCCACTCTTTACAAGTAACCCTCTAACACTGGGCTCAACATGAAGGTTGATGAGCGACTATGAAGTCACTCTCGTCAACGATAACAGTATGTAGCCATCAAGGCCCTTGCCCGATCCTGCATCCTTTCGCTGACATGCATACAGTGTAACATGCCCCCCGCGCTCATTTCAGGCCTTAATTTTCTTTGCTCACGTGATTTAGGCAGGAATTCTACGTTCGGTTCAAGGGCCCTGAAGAAAGTACGTTCTCTGAAGAAGCCTATCCAGTGAGAAAGTTGCAGGTTGGGTTTCACGAGTTGGCTCTCGCCACTGTTGTTGAGATGGCCAAAGGCGCGGTCACTTCGGTGCACCACCAACTTCGTCCCAGCCCCCATTGCGATCAATTATCTACGGGATAGAGAGTTAACACCCATTTTTCTTAGCGCCTTTTACCGGAGGCATCTGGAAGGTCCACGTTGAGCTCCCTGATCAGTATCCGTACAAGTCTCCCTCGATTGGATTTGTAAATCGCATCTTCCACCCCAATATCGACGAGCTGTAAGCACATCTCTCACGGGCTCTCCCCCTGGTTGACAACCGGCTAAATTCGCATAGGAGCGGAAGTGTGTGCTTGGACGTCATTAACCAGACATGGTCCCCGATGTTCGACATGATCAATATCTTTGAGGTGTTCCTCCCGCAGCTTTTGCGCTATCCTAACCCGACAGATCCCCTGAACGGTGAAGCAGCCGCGCTCTTGATGAGAGAGCCAAAGCAGTACGAGATAAAGGTCAAGGGTATGTTCTGCTGTTTGCACCATATAAAGACACGCGCCCTTTTGCTTTATCCGGGCACATCGAGCTAATTTCGGCACAGAATACGTCGCCAAGTATGCCACAAAAGAGGGCGCAGACGCCGCTACAGACGACAGCGAAAGCGATGACGAGATGAGTTCTGTGGGTAGCTTCGACTCTACCGATGAAGAGCCCGCAGGAACTATGGAAGTTTAGCTATTTTTGGTCATCTATCGCGGCGTTTTGTGACTACTCAATTCCACTCTCTTTAGGTTTCTGGCTCCGGAGTTTTCTCTTTTTTTCTTCTTTTTTTCTCTTTTTCCCTTTTTCCTTCTTTCCTTCCTTTTCTTTTCCTCCCTCCTCGCTCTGATCCCCGGGTCTCTAGCGTCCGAGTAGGCCAGATTGTTCCCATGAATTAAGAGGCGGCAATGGGAATGGTAGGAAAATAACAAGGCCTTGATGCAATTGGTCGCCGTGGTATTTTGTGTCCGATTTAGTTTTGCTTACCCGCTTGCTTAGTTGATGTACTGTACTGTACTACCATACCGTATCCCAGTGCGGTAATTTGATCTCCCCCCAGCTGAACGCCTTTTGATGAGCGCAAGGCGGCCGCCGCCATTGGTCTCTTGCCCCCATATCGTATTCAAAGGGATCCCACCGAATTTCTACCCGTGCTGCGTCTGTGTCTAGCAACCAGTATCTGAAAATACGGCCTACTGTTACACAATCACCCAAACAGCGAGAAAAGCCCTATCCCACCTCCAGACGCCTTATGCTAGATTCAGGTACTTTTAAAGCATCGCACATTCTCGCACATTCGACGATCCCCAAACACCCGCTGAATGGAGAATAGGGCTTGTGTACTAGTACAGTACAGTACCGTAGGGGGAGGGAGGGGAGGGGGGACAGTGACAAACCGGCTATCCTGAGTCCACCAAGAAGCCCTCGGCGAGCCTTACATATGCGTCCACCCAAGATCGCCCTATCCTGCCGGCCCCAATCAACCAATCCCCACCAGCCCGAGTGCCGTACGCACAGTCGCCGGAGTATAGCACCATCCTTCGCCTCCACTATCCCGCACTATACGGTACCCTATACCGCCCGAGTAAAGCTCCCGCCCTATTGTTCCATACCCGCACTGCGCATGGAGCAAATCTAGCCAAACTTAACCACCTACCCCCATAACCCCGCCCAATCAACTGTCTTCCGGAACGGGGAAATACTAATCACCATGGTCTCTCCAAACCATCCCACCCGTAACGCTATTCGTGCCGTATTATAGCACGATAGTAAGCAGTATCATACCCGGAAATAGGGGCTCGCAAGATATATAGCCAAAAGAAGGATAAAACTATCCGCAGACAAGCTCACCACCCCTGTTTTTTTGCGTGCCAATAGTACACGTACAGTACGGCACGACGCCATCATTTGCCAAATGGTGGATCTTAGCTTTCCTGCTGTGCTTACAGGTGCAATCCCTCTCTTTCCTTTTTTTCCCCAAAGAGGTCTTCGAGAATGACCTCGCACAGTGGGAAGAGCGGGAGCAGAAGAGGGGGAAGTGTAGTACTTGTAAAGTGAAGCGGAAGGAGATATAAAAAAACAAAAAAACATTGAACGGTTAATTCTTGCATGGGTTCAGCGGTGCGCAGCACTCGAGTACCTGTACTCGAGTACTACTCCCTGCACCGTGGTGGGCGTAGAATGCAAGGGGTGGGAGAGAAGTACCGGTATGACACCGGTGCACAGAGAGTACGGTACCGTTATACCTTGCCCTGGCCGAACATAGGTTAACTTAAGCATAAATTCTTGTTCGCACAAAGGCTGAAAATTCACTGTACCCGTAGGGCAGTGTGCGAGTTGTGGCCCCTCCGGGTTTTCCCTTCGCTACAGAAGGTATCGTAGCCTTCGTGTTAAGGTTTGCTCGAAAATTAATGGTGTAATGGGGGAGCAAGGCGCTGTGGCGACAGAAGGGAAGGGAAGGGAAGTGAAGTGAAGTGAAGCGAAGCGACGCGTTCGGGTGTTTACAGCCCTACCTTGAACTCTGGTGTATCCTACCGGGACTTGTGCGAATCCACGTGGATAGTTAGCTGTGCTCGTGTCGAGTTCGGTAAACCGAGGCGCGATATGATACGACACTATGAGGCACCGGTAAGTTAGCCTCCGTGCTGCTAACTTATGGCACCACCTACGATACCGTAGCTGTCCCTCCCCCACCCGCAAAAATACCGGCATGCGGTATCATATGCACGTGATACCTGTGCACACCATACAGGCAACAAACAAATATTGCAAACAAGCGGTCCCCCCCCCCTTTCCCTTCCCACGAGTCCCTTCCGGTCCGCCCAGTGACGCCACGTTACAGTACCTGTAGTGTCCCGTGATGCCCATCCGTTCAATGTGCGGTCACCATATGGTATCATATCTTATCCGTAACTTCCTGCATTGCGGGGAAGCTGTACCCCATACTCGGCGATTTTTAAAAAGTATTCGGAGAGAGAGAGTTGTCCGACCGTAAGCATGCGCTGCAGCTATTTCCACAAAATTAGAGTGGGCATCTCCGGAGGGGGCATGTGTTGTTACCATAACCGGATCAATCGATTCTTCCCACTTGGGGAGGGGAGGACCGGAAGAAGGGGATCGCCTCCCGTCGGTGGCTGGAAGGATTGGTCCTGTGCCGTACTAGTACAGGCCGGTTCACGGGCAGGTTGTAACTTGTCTACGATACTATGGACAGAGTGGGAAAAGGACGAGAACTGGGATGAGCGGGGAGGAAGGTGAGTGTTCCGGGTGATCGGGATGTTGAGATCTGAAACCGTGAATGGGTGGGGGGGAAGGAATGGCTCGGGTGGTTGGCCGAAGGAGGGGTTGCCGGCGGGATGTTGGATGAGGTGCGAGGGGGGACTGGGTGTTGGGGTTTGTGAGCACCGGCAGGGTACTCGTAGGGGGGAGGAAGACGGCACTCGAGTACAAGTACTGCATGCAGGTTGGGTCCGGGTTGGGTTAGTTGTTGTACTCGAGTACCGTACTCGAGTGCATGCTTGTATGAGGGCGTGTTATACGATAGCCTAACCGGTATGGTGGTTCTTTTGCGTTCGTACGGGCGGAGTTAGTACGGTATTCCATCCATGAGGATATGCATATTTCCACGGCCCCCCCCGTTTATTTCTTTCTCTCATCCGCCGCCGTACCGGTATCATACGGTACATCACCCTAGGTTTCTCCTCCTGTGGGGTTCCTTTGTTCCCCAGCCAAGCGCCGAGGTGAAGTATGGGTGAGAGGCTGTGAATGGCTACGGTACCGTATTCCATCCTATTTTATTTTTTATTTTTTATTTTTTCCCCCTTCCCATGTGGGATTTTTATTCATCTCGTTGGTTGCGACATTTGGGTTGTCTCACTCGATGCGCGTGCGTGTGGTTGCCATGTGGTCTCTCTGTGCTTTCAGTATTACTCCCGGCTTGGCTATCCGGTTCGGGAACGGTACTTTCTTCCATGGCGCTTCCAAAGCTTCTTCTAGCGCGATATTCACCTTTTTATTGTGAGGTCACATTTTGCCTTTTTTCTTTTTCTTTCTTTCTCAGGGATTGCTCCTGTTACTCTTATTTTTCTCTCTCTCTTCTTTTCTTTTGTCTTCTCGTGAACTGCTTCGCATCTTCTTTTTTTTTTTTTTTTTTTTCCTTTCAATTCTTAGCACGAGGCTTGAGCGTGTTTGTGGTACAGGAGGAAAAGGGAAAGGAAAAGGAAAAGAGTGCTTGGAGGAAGAGGTTAGGGGGGGGGGGTAGAAAAAGAAATTTGGAAATAAGTAGCCTGCGCTCCCATCTCCTTTGATACTCAGTTGCATGTCTGCCAACGTGCTGTGCGCTGCGCTTACCGTGATATGGTTTACTTTGCGCGAGGTTAGCCACGCTTGTTGCGTCTTGCATGGAAGGAAGGGAGGGAAGGGAAGGGAAGGGAAGGGAGGGAGGGAGGGAAGGGGTTGGTTGGTTGGTGGATGGGAAAGCGTGGGAAGTGAGGGGATCGTGGCATGTATCATACCTGTATGATACCGGTATCTACGAAGGGTAACGGAGACCTCGTGGCAACCGGGCTAACCTGGGAATTTCGGGAGTTGTTTCTTTTTTGTGATTGTTTATTCAACCCAGGTTTTTATCTCTACCCTCCCGTAGCGAATTCGTGGTTTCCACGAGCATCTCGTATCCTATATGACGGGGGCGGGGGTTTGCTTTATTTTATTTTCGGATTCCCGTGCGTTGGGGTATAGCATTTGTTTGTCACGGCGACTATCATAATATATGCTTTTCCTATGATACCTGTACTCGTACAGTACCTGGTACCTTCTCACCTCAGGGTGAAGTAGCACCAAACGTAGAGGCTCGTGTCTATGTGGTGAGAGCGCCGGTAACAGGCGCCCGCCCCGAGGGATGGAGGGGAAGTGAAGGGGTGGAAAGGGAGGGAAAAAGGAACAAAAGAGATGCTCTGTCACTGTGGCCCCAGTACTGTTCTAGTACGGGTATGATACATGATACCGCGAGAGAGAAGCATCCATCGCCATCCTACCCTGAGGGGGAAGTCCGTGGTGCTGGTATTATAAGGGTTTATTTTTATTTTTATTTTTATTTTTTTGGAAAACTCCCCTTTTTCCGGGTATTCCCTCCCTTTTTCCACCCATGAAACCGTCGAGCAGGACAATGACCGTACCAGTACAGTGCTCTATTCGTGCTCCCCAAACCCGCTGAAGCCGCCTTATCTGTCAGTCTAGAATATCCGCCGACAGGCTCTTGTATTTCCGATTCTCGGTCTCCGTATCATACAATCTACGGTCATCTTGAGCGGAATTGTACCGCAGATACACCCCCTCCTCCTTCTTACCTCCCCTCCTACTGTGCCATTTCTCCCCCTCCTACCCCCCTCCCAATTGTCGCTGTACCCTGAGCTTGCATATTGCCCCCTTGCCTCTCCGCCTAACCCTTCTCCTCTCTTGTGCTCTTTTATGCTGCTTCGCACGCTCTCACCACCATCAGCCAACTACGACCTCCCGGACGTGCCATAATATTGGGGGACTTTATACACTCTCCGATACCTTAAACCCTGGCCTGCCTGACGCTGTGCTCCCATCCACTTCATTCTACCGCGCCGTATCTCCACAAAAAGCCTCGCCATACCTTACAGTATCCTCGCTCGAAGCCTCGAGCATCCGGGAATCATCGTCACTGACTCTCGGCCCCCAAATCGAGGAACAATCCTTGCCTCGAGAGGCAGAGCTTATTCCAGCTCAATCCTTCCTAGTGACCTCTATTTCTCACTCCCTATCCCTAATTCTGCTGGGGGGCTCCAAAAAATAGGGTAAGGAAGGACAATAGGAGCTGATTGTGTAGAACCTAGTTGTTTCTCGTTTTCGCCCTACAGGTGCCTCTCCTCGCACCTTGCCCCGACCCATTTCCTATCATACCTACTCCACACACCCACCCTTCCACCCCAACCTCACCGCTCCTTACTTACCTTGCCCGCATTTCCTCTCCATATCATCGCTCGTTTCCTCCACCCTACATCTTCCGATAGGCATTCTAGAAGCCCTCGTTCCTTCCTCCGGAAACGGGACAGCGTTAATCAAATCCTGTCCATCAAACGAGACTTGACCTAAGGGCTTCTGTCGACCTTACCTTCTCTTTTGGCTACGTGCTACACAACTCACTCGCTCAACTCCTCCCCTTTCACCTACCTACTCTTATAGGAACGTCTATCCGACAAACTCACGGATCAGACAAAGGACCTTAAGCAGACATACACATCTGACCTCATTCTCTCTCTCTCAAGGAACTCCCGTACGAAATTCACCAATTCTGGCGTCGATATCAGTCAGTGGTTGGAAGTCATGGGGAACAGCAGTGGAAAGCCTGTTGTCTTCACGGAAGAGGGTTCGTTCTTCTTCTTCCCCTTTCCCCACACAACCCCAATTCTCGCGTGGGAAAAACGTTGTCTTCGATCGCAGATCGAGAACAACTTTATTTTATTTTTTTGCTCCGTCTTATTTATTTTTTTCGTCCGCTCGACCGCAATCCCCCCGCCGAGTTTCTCTTGGGGGATGAGATGCGATAAAGTGAAATGGTGAATATGGAATTAGAGACTGACGTGGAGGATAATTGTACTAGTGAACCTCAATCACTTCCGGCTGCTGCGCGTTGTGGGAAAAGGGGCGTTCGGAAAGGTTAGGATTGTGGAGAGGAGAGATACCGGCTTGACGTTCGCCCTTAAGTATATACGGAAAGATGAAGGTTTGTTTTCTCGCATGAGGCTTGGGTCGGGTGATGGAGTGGACGGGGAGGCGGGGAGGCTAGAGTTGGACGATTTGCTGATTGGGCTTTTGGTTACTACTAGTTGTTCGATCGGAGAGTGTTCGGAATATAATACGGGAGAGGCGAATGTTGGAGCATTTGAATCACCCTTTCCTTTGCAATCTCCGTTATAGTTTCCAGGATATCGAGTATCTGTATGTGCTAACATTCTTCCCCCCACCTGCCCCACTATCGATAGGTGTGATAGCTGATACATATTTCTGGCTATAGATATATTGTTGTTGATTTGATGAATGGCGGGGATTTACGGTTCCATATTTCCCGGAAGACGTTCACGGAGGAAGCTGTGAGATTTTGGATCTCAGAGCTGGCGTGTGCTTTGCTTTACATTCATGGAAGGGGTATAGTTCATCGTGATGTTAAGCCTGATAATATATTACTCGACTCGGATGGGCATGTGCACTTGGCCGATTTTGTGAGTTTCGCTTTATCCAATTGTATTGTCGGGTTTACCTGGCTAATAGGAGCTCCAGAATGTCGCTTCCGACATTCATCCGGACCGCCCATTGTCAAGCAAGTCCGGCACCCTTGCATATCTGGCTCCGGAGGTTTATGGTGGGGGCGGATATGGTACTGGTGTTGATTGGTGGTCATTGGGTGTTGTATTTTATGAGTGCATTTACGGGAAGGTAGTTTTCCTTTTTCTTGAATCTTGGGGGAAAGAATTGGTTGTCGATGCTAACTGGATTCCAGCGACCGTTTACTTCAGATACTCATGAAACTCTCGGCAAGGAGATCATGAGGGCTGCTCCAAAGTACGCTATCACAAACCCGCCAGTTACCAGAGATTGCATGGACGCAGTCCGTAGTCTGCTCCAACCGGATGTGACCAAGCGGATAGGGGCAGCTGGCTTCGACACTTTCACAAGCCATCCCTTCTTTGCGGATATCGATTTCCATGCGTTAGAGAGGAAGGAGTACGATCCTGTCTTCAAGCCTTCCAGCGAGAAGACCAATTTTGACGCCACATATGATCTTGAGGAACTGCTACTGGAGGAGGCGCCATTAGAGGCTCGAGCTAGAAGGCAGAGACCCCGAGAGAGGTTAAAGGATGATGCTACAGCTCAGGAGATCCGACAAGAAGAATTGCACAGGATGATAGAAACACTCTTTGAACCGTTCGATTATACCACAGTTGGATATGACAGGTGGGTTCGACCTTTGCGCTTTCTCTGTTCTTAATCTGACTGTCGGGCACAGTCCAACTGAAGGTGACAGATATACTGGGGCAGTGGATCCTGCTTCTAAATCCGCCGGTGAACCTCTTGACTGGGTAAGGCCGTCTATGAATTCTCCTCGGTCAGAAGTAATGGGTCATACAAGTCCTGTTTCAATTAACGCTACTCAAAAGTCCCAAAAGTCATTAGTGGGTTCTCCTGCATCTGGGTCCCCTCCCATTCCATCGTGCACGGATCTTCCGAAAGTGTGTCCACCACCTCGTTCGATGCCACCGACGGTCTCCTCCACCGATCGCTCCAATCTGAGGGAACAGCAGTTGCAGAAACGGCACAGTATTGGGAAGTTAAGGTCTGGCACGAGGAATCAGTCTTCGAGTGGTGGTGTTCAAGTGGTTTTGGATGAGACTGGGTCATGGTCGGATCTGGCGGACAAATCGTCACCAACACCTGCGCGCCTGAAGCCGTCAGGAATGCTCGGGTTCTTTTCAAAACGGAAAGGTCGGGCGTCCAGTCCAAAGCCCCAAGAGAGGGGTGTGCTCGGCCGTGAGGGGGCTAGGGTTGTCATTGCGTGACATTGGGCGGTGCCGGGGAATGGTTCCGTCAAGAGTACTGTTGAGGCGTGCTCTATTAATCTGATTCTCCTTTTTTCTTCTTTCCCTTCTTTTCTTTTTTTCCCTCTGTTTCAATGTCTTTATTTTACCGGTTCTATTACCCTTTTTTCCTTCCTCTCGTCATCCATCCCCTTTGAGGACTTTTACCATACCACCTTGAGGGGCTGTAAAATGCAGAGGGGTATCGGCACTTTGATGAATGGTGTAAGTTAGATGGTACGATTTGCGCTTTTTTTTTCGTGTTTTTTTTTATTTCCCCTCATCATCTCTCCCCCCCCCTCACATCTCATGGCTTTCATTTTTCTCGTGTTCATTGTGATTCACCTCCCATCACGCCCTTCCTTCTCCTGTCCTTGAATGCATCTTATTTTTTTTAAAAAAAATAACGGCATAACTTTCGGGGTACCTTGCAGGGAAAGCATACAAAATTTTCTCTTTCCTTCCTTTTCATCATTTTTCCCATTTTTTTCCCAGCGTCTTTCTCCCTTGTTTGTTATTGTTACCATCGGTATGGGATTCCGGGCTCCACTACGACCGCGCTCGTTACAGGCAAGAAGTATCCGATACCAGGGATTAGAAAAGTATGCCAGAGAGTCCATTCATATCTGTGCGCCCATATAAATCCAAACCCCGTATTACCTCTTACCTCCTATGATACGAGTATTATCTTCTTCCCCCCCCTTCCCCCAGCTAATTTAGCAGTTACAATGGTTTATTTATTGTGAACAGGTGACGATTGACGGAATATAACCTGATGCACAAGGTTTCATTTTTTTGTTCCCCCCTCCCTCCCTCACTCCTTGGGTTTCCTTTCGCTCTAGCGTTCGTGTAGTCGTGCCGATTATACTATGCCATGTGGGGGCACGATAAGCGGGACGAAACAATGTCTGAAAAAAACGTGCGGATGGCGTGCATGGTGGGAGGGAAAGAGGGAAGGGGAGGGGTGGAGGGACGGGTTCCTCCTTTTTTTTTGCGTATGGAGATTGAACACGGGGATACTACTGTAGAAAATTTCCATGGCAGATTGTCCGTGCGCATCCGGGCGTCGACGCTAAATTCAGACTAAAATGTTCAGGTACTGTACAATACTGGAGCACCTGTACCGAGTACCCGAGTATCTACGGTACGATACTTTATGCGGGCTACTGTACGGTACCTGTATACTGTAAAAATCCTTAGTATTCTCTACCGTATCTCCGTAGGTATCGAATATCCCTGCAAATAACGACCATGGTAGGATTAGTTGCGCAAGCTAACGGAATTGCGAAACCCAGTTGACGAGATCCGACACCATCTGAAGGCACTAACCCTTCTCAGGAACATTTATCTCTCGGTCACGAGATTAGCGAGTGAACGGGGATAGCGAATTCTAAGGGGTTTCATGGTACCGGTGCTCGAGTATCGTAATCCCATAGGACACGGCGAATGGCACATTGCGCCGTAGTGAAAAAAAGAAGCGGGGTCTGGGAGGATGCGGCAGGGGTCATGAAGCCCCACTCATACAAGTACTCGTATGTGCCAGCATGATATACCGGTAGCACTAGTACTAGTACGGTACCAGTACAGTAATTGTGCCGGTACTCGAGTACCGTACTTGCTTATCATACAGTACCATCCCGGTACAGTACAATATGATACAACCTTACACCCCGAGAAAGGTGAAATCGGACCCGTACCGGCACCAAATACTCGGAGGTATGATACCTGCTGTACCCTATACCCTACCAGCACACTACCGGTATGATACCAAGCTCGCGGTTTTTCTTTTCACTCACTTTCCACTTTTCGGCTGATTGGTGAACCCTGTAGCACCGACTTACCGTATCCGATCGTCGGTCCGAATGCCTGTTGTAGTATACCGGTGCCGGCGCTCGAGTACTGTACGAGCACTCGTAGACTTTAACGCGGTGGCGGACAGGGATTGATAAAGTTTTTTTGTTTTTGGTACATTGTACGTTACCCTTCTTTGCGCCCCTTTTCAAATTACAAGTGCTAGTACCGGTACCGTACTGTACTCGTACTCGTTGGTACTCGGGGTACACTACCGTAACCCTGTTCTATTCGACACACGCTGGTATTCGTCTTCGTGCACTCTGGAAGAGTTGAAGGCACGGTGCCGCCGGTGATGTTATTGCAACGTCGGTTTTGTCCCTCCCCCCTCTGGGGCTGTTCTTGCTGTGCGTGGGTTTACTGTACGAGTACTAGTACATATCATATTGTCGCTGGGGGCCTTTCTTTTTTCTTTTTTTTGTGAGGATGTGGAGTCAATTCTGCGACTGGCATGATACGGTACGTTTGGTTGTATAGCGCACGTTAGTAATGTAGGAGACTCGTGCTAATACCGTTGTAATGGTTAGGTTTGTTTTTGATTATTTCTGTAGTTTTGAGGCTTTGTGCTTTCATGCTGGTATAATGTCGTAGGCGAAAGTAGGGGGGGGGGGCTTTGGGGATGCTTTTGTTAGCACTGGACTGGACAGTTTATGGTGTTTACCGGTATTGTAAGTTTGGTGCTTCCGGTACAGTAGGAGTACAGTATTGGCCCATCCATCGCTGCCCAAGGGATCGGATCGGTAGATGCGTTCTGGGGTTGGAATTCTTGATAGATCTCCTTGCCCTCTCGATGGGATCTTTGGGCCGTGGCTACTGTACTGTACTGGTACAGACGGACTGCCATAGGCACGTGTAAGAGGACAGAGTAAAAGTGCTCGGTATGATACCGGTACAAGTACCGTAGACTACAACCCGCGTATGCGACTAGTCTAGTATTATACAAGTAGATTAGATCATGGAGGAAGCACTAGGCTCGACTGGACCGAATCCTAATCGAGTTTGGACTTTTTTAAATTTAAACTTTATCCCGAGCCACGTGCCGTGCCTCATCCCAAGCTTTTTTCAGGAACCGGGCGACAGAGGCCCTTACAGTAAACAGGAAAGCGGCCAAGAGCGAAGAGGTTGACTTGTCTGTCCACTGGAGTGCGATGCAACGCAGCCGCCCGCAGGCCGCTGCGTTCCTCTGGCAACGGCTGAACCATAACAACTTCATCACAATCCTGCCGTGCCCTGCCCTTGGCTTTCTTTGCTGGCATGGCCATCTCCCCTTGAGTTTTTTTTTTTTTTTTTCCTTGCTGCGAGGTTTCGTGTTCTCCTTTGTTTCCTCTCGATTTCTCTCCTTCGCTTGATACCTGCTCTATTGTGCCTGCAGCAGGAAAGGGAAAGGGTGGTGTGCTTTTTTTCTTTTTCACGATTTTACGGATAAGGATTTTTTTTGCTGTTACGATTGCTTGCTCGATCTCCCTGCTGCAGCATTATCAGAACTTCCCAAAGTGTGGGGGGTGTGGTAAAAAAAAAAAAACAAAGCAGAGAGGTGAGAGCAGAGGATAGGTGAGGATTACCGAATTTGTTTGCTAGCTGACCCACTACTCGCACCTAAGCTGCGTGCCGAAGGGGCGTGGGCGTGACGAACTGGATTGGGCTCTTTGGCTTCTGGTTTCGACTTTCGTTCTCGTTTTCATTCCTTCGTCTTCTTCGGCATTGTTTAGGTTTGTGGTTCAGTGTCGAACCGGATATGACAAAATACGCTTATTCTCACGGGAGGATACCATCCGATGACTCTGTCGATCCGGTAGCTGCGGAAAAGCACAAGAGACGACGTCGAGAACGGGATCTGGAAAGGGGCGAGAGTAGGCGTCACCACCGACGTGGTGGCGCCGGTGGTGAAGATGGGGATAGGCCGAGGAGGAAGAGGAGACGAAGGTCTGTTGCTGCGGGGTACGGCGATGGTGGGCATTCGGGGCGTGGGGAGGGGAGACCTCGGAGAAGTAGGAGTCAGAGTGCGCCGCCGCCCCCACCGGAGAAGAGGAGGAGGAGGTGTGGGCCTTGCTTTTGTAGGTTTGGTCCATTCAGTTAGCGTAGGTAGGGAGTAGGGGGCTGATTGAGGGTTTTTTTTATAGGGATCTTGCTTGGTTTGATAATTCTCCTGTTGATCATACTTATTCCTGTTGGGGTATTGGTTGTTGGTAAGAAGAAGGATGCTGCGAGTGGTGGAATCGATGAGGGGTTGGGGAAGGGCGAGAAGGGTGGGAGCATCGGTGATATTGATGCTTCTAGTATTCCGGTATGCTTTTATTGATTCCTCGGCTGGCCTCGCTTTCGTGACACTGACTGACTGTTTGGGGGTAGTCTGAATATAAGGGAACTTATTATGACCCGTTTACTTGGATTGATACGCAAGATTTCAACCTTACCTTTACTGATCGGAAAGTCGGAGGTCTTCCTGTTATGGGTCTTTGGGATGACTATGATGATTCCGTCCAGGCGAACGAGAATGTTCCACCTCTGGACCAGGAGTTTCCCTATGGGACTAAGCCTATTCGTGGTGTCAATCTTGGAGGATGGCTTATTATTGAGCCTTTCATCACACCGTCTTTCTTCGATAAGATTGACTCCAAACTTGGTGTTGTGGACGAATTCACCCTTAGCAAACATCTTGGCCCTACCAATGCGGCAAAGACGGTTGAGCAACATTATGCAAACTTCATTAACGAGAGCGCTTTCCGGGAAATCAAGGAAGCCGGGCTTGATCACGTTCGTATTCCTTTCGGGTATTGGGCCGTCATGACTTTAGATGGTGACTCGTTCGTTCCAATGATCTCTTGGAGGTACTTGCTCCGGGCGGTTGAATACGCGAGAAAGTACGGATTGAGGGTCAAGCTCGACTTGCATAGTGTGCCTGGAGGAGCGAATGGCTGGAACCATAGTGGTAGACTCGGGAAAATCGGGTGGTTGAATGGCACGGACGGAGATAGCAATGCTCAAAAGACCCTGGATATACATAACCAGTTGGCGACGTTCTTTTCCCAACCTCGATACAAGAACGTAGTGACTATGTACGGTCTTGTCAATGAGCCGAAGATGATCATCCTTGATGCGGGCAGGGTTGTTGAGTGGACTGTCAAGGCTCATGGGGTTGTTCGTAAAGCAGGTTATCGGGGATATATCATTTTTGGTGATGGGTTTAGAGGGTTGGAAAACTGGAAGGGTGAATTCAGGGGCTTGGATAAGATGTTGCTCGACGTCCATCAATATGTCATCTTCAATAATGAGCAGATTTCAGCAACCCATTCCGCCAAGGTCAAATTTGCTTGCGAAGGATGGGGCCGGCAGATGGCGCAGAGTGTTGATACTTCTACTGGGTGAGTGGCTATCTCGGGTAGGAATTTGGAGGATATTGGCCGCTGACTGCTGATTTTAGGTTTGGGCCTACCGTGGTTGGCGAATGGGGACAGGCTGAGACGGATTGCACACCTCATCTCAACAATGTAGGTCTTTAATTTTTGGGGCAGAGCATTTCGCAGGGGCTTTTTCTAACCTGTTATAGGTTGGGATTGGATCGCGCTGGGAAGGCACTCTCAATTCCGGAGATCCTCTTAGCCAGACCAACGTGCCTAGTTGTCCCGGTGGGAAAGGGTGCTCGTGCGAGGGAGCCAACGCTAGTCCTTCCACCTATTCAAAGACATATAAGAATTTTCTCCTTATGTTTGCTGAGGGTATTTATCCCTATATGTTGTTTGGGGTGGCTGAGCTGGTGTTAACATTTTCATTATAGCCCAAATGGATTCCTTCGAAAAGAGTTGGGGGTGGTTATACTGGACCTGGGACACTGAAGCCGCGACTCAATGGTCCTACAAGAAGGGTCGTGCGGCCGGAATCCTTCCCAATAAGGCATACACCCGGTCCTTCAAATGCAGCGATACGATCCCGGACTTTGCGAGCGAGGGATTACCAGAAACCTATTAGATTAACTATCCCTGTTTTCCTTTCTCTCTTGTTATTCCGGAGTTTGGGAATTTGGAGCCTTGTATTTTACCATATATATACGATACGACAGCACATGCATCGATAATGATGATGATGCGATAATGCGCCGACCTATTTTTTATGAGAGTCGTTTTACCTTTTTTCTTCTGAATTTAATTTAATTTGGGGGGTGGAGAGGGAAAAGACAGAAAATTATCATGCATTGGGCGAGACTTGTGAATGATGTAGCTTTAGTTGTATAAATCAATTGGCCTATGGATGGGCATGGGGAATTATGATAAAGGGTAACTCGCGCTGCTCTTAAGACTGGTGGTTCTGGTGTCCTAGGTTATCTAGTATGTGGTTAGGAATACTGGCATCATACGATCGTGCTTGTGCGTGCGTAAGAGACCTCAATTTTGGTATCATAGTCTGGGGGGCAGTTCTCCTGGAAATCTGTGAGCGTGTTCGAGCACTGTATCATACTCGAGTACGGTATATAGATGGCAGCGGTAGCTGCTCCAAAGCACTCCAAAGAGGTAATTCGAGGCCATATCAGGACCGCTAGGGTGGGGTTTTTTTTTTGTTCTCCATAATCTCTATAATCCCTTGTATAAAGCCGACATGAGACATCTTTCCGCGAGTCGTAATTTAACAACTTTGAAAACCCCTACGAAGGGTGCATAACCGTTTTTTTTTTTACAGTTTGAGTAACATAAATACTTGTATGCAAGATATCTTCCCACAGAACTGGCAACTCGCCCGGAGTTCAGAAGGGTTGCGCTACACGATATCCGTGCTGGCTACCTATCTACCGTACCGGCTCGCCGGGACAGGATTGTCGGACCGTTTCGGGACTCTGGTTATTATTATTTAATGGTGAAGCCTATCTCGCCCCCCCCCCCTCCCCCCGGATTTAGATTTCCGCCTGGGTTTCAGCACCACTTGCATTTCTGCGATTTGGGGGTTTGTTATTGCTGGAATTTTTGTGTGATGGTTGGCTGTGTTCGCGATCGTCTGTTGATTACGGGTGTTATATATAATAGACATGGTGGACGGGGTGGATGTGTTTGACTTAGACTACTGGTCTGGGTTGAACCTTCTTGTTCGTGATTGGACTGGCTTCTGGATTATTACCGGTATTTTGTTTCGTTCGTGGTGATATTAATACAGGATGAAATATCTTTTTAAGGCATATTTTTTTTTCCCCAGGTATGATAATATTATGGTATCGTTTTTGTATATCATACTCACATTGGTGTTGATATAATATCTGTATTTCTACATTGAAATCTATGATGCTATGGAGAGTTTGCGGAGTGGGACCTAGGTGGTGTTAAATTTAATATGGGTTGACAGCAAGGCTTGACCACCCGGTTCTTTGGTCCCGCCTGGTCCAGGTGTAAAAACTCAAGAACTAGACCTGCACAAATGCCCACTTCCACTGCATTTTTATGCCCCATTCAGGTATGATTTTCTAGCCATTCTCCTCAAGTGCAATCCTGACAAGAGCAGCCTCAAGAAAGTTAAGAATTGGCTAGTGTATTGACATCTTATATGGATGGAGTTTAGGAAACTCAACAATTGTCGGGAGTCTGATGTGCTGTTGATCGGAGTTCGCAACCCCCATGTATGATAGCAACATTGTTAATAATAACTCCCACCTATTTAGGTCTGTCTGCGCAAACTCTCTACCAGTATTTCGTAGATTTTATTAGCTAAAGTATCCGGGGATGAGCGATTCCATAATAGGAACTGGCAGAGCAATCCGGCAACATGAGTACGGTACCGGTACTTGAGAAGAGCATATTCTGCCCTCTCCTTTGATTTCGTAGTCATTTGGCTAATTGGGGCAATGTTATATATCATACCGGGGAAGGAAACGTCTTCAAGTTCGATCCCACACCGCTTGGAGGAGGTCTCAAGATCTAAACCCCTTTCATTGCCCGTGACCTATGTTATATATCCTTCCCTCTCCCATGTCGGAGTTCCTTCTTTAGTGCTAATTTGCACGCTTGAAAGCTGTGAAAGTCGGGAACAAACGGGGGGATGAGTACTGTACTCGAGTAGGTTTGAGAGGAATGGTTGCGGCTCGTGTGAAGTTCCGGGATTGGGGGTTTGCCTATTAGAGTTTTTTTTATTTTTATTTTTAGTGTCCCATTTGAGTTGCTGGAAGGAAAATTTTTTTAAGTTGGCCAAGACACCGACACCATTCCCTTTGGGGTATCATCTAGCCAGGAAAGCTGGGCTAATACCATTTCCTCCCTTTAGGACTGAAGTTCCGGTGGTTTATGAAAGCATTGATCCATTTTTTGCGTATTATATATGCATTTCGTAAAAAGTGGGAGCGTCTGGCCCGTGCCGAACATAGAAATTTCCTTTAAACAACCAAAACGGGGCTCCGGAACACCTCTGTCTATGCGAGTATGGGCTCATGGGTAAATTTATATGCCATTCCACGCGCTCAAAGTGGGTTTCCGGGTTCTTCTCCGCAGGTGGTTCCATAACGGGAGATCCCCCGGGTCCACCAGTTATGTGAGCAGTGGTATTGGCTATATCATACTTGAGCGTAATCGAGTACTGTACTGGCATGGTTGGGTAGGAATTCGTGAGGGAGCCGAGTCGGTGAGCTTCGGGTTGCTCATGCTCATTCTTTTTCAACATTTTAATGTGGCTTTGCTTTGTTCTGTGGAGGTATCTATCATATGTACGATCGTGCAATGTGTTATACCCGGGAACTGCACCTGAGAGGGGTTTTCTAACTGGTTCTTGACATCCATTACCGGTATGGGGATAATACGGTAGCCCGCTGTAGGGTTCAGCACCTGGGATTACATCACCTACTTGAGCGTTGTATCATAAATCGAGAGACACGGTACGGTAGTCCATTAGCATTTTTCATGGGGTAAGGAAAATGGGTCTAGCCACCGTCCATGCCGTAGGAATTGCGGATCACAGTGAATTGTCAACTGACCTGTGGGATACCGTTTTTTGAACTTGTGGTTAGCACAGTACGAGTGGTGAGCAGAGCACCATTGAAACCTGACGTTGTACTGTACTGTACGACCTGGTGGCCGCTCGCTGGGGTGGGTGTGGCGGCCGGGCGCCGGGTTTGGTGCGTTTCCTTACGGCTTTTGGAGAAGGTGGCATTTACTAAAGGGGATCACAAATTCTTCGAAAACCCCCGCAAAGAGGCACCCGAGGCACCGCTTTTGGACCCCCATTGTAATGTACTTGTACCACTGGCACGCTATTTCTGTTCTGTCATTGCTATCACCGAGTCCTACCGATCCCCAATCACGTTACCAGCTGTGCTACGATTTCCAGTAATGGTTATCATTAACAAGTGTTACATGCACGATAGGGCTATGTATGCCATGAATATGGCAGAGCCTCAACTTACAGTACTGTACCTCACCGCCTCTCAAGGTGGGGTAACCGGGAGTTGGCCGGGTTGAGGGAAAAGAATTTCAGGAGCAACCCCGACGTCGACTTCTCCGTCGACTTCTCCCCATTTCTCCGCCCATTTCTCCCTCCCCCTCTTCTCTACCCATCGCCACATTCACCTGCCCATATGCAATGGCTACCTCTCCTCCCGAACGGAGATACCTAGCCCTCCCGGGCCCACCGGCCAATTCCCCATTCCGTCTCGCGGCGATCCAAGACGCCATAAATTCCACAGTTTCCGGCACCAACAGAGTGGTCTCCATCCGCTCAATATTCGTACACTACGTCTGCCCCCAGGATGGCGTGGACGTGAATATCTTGGAAGACGAGAATTCGAAGGAGAGAAAATGTCTAGGCCAGTTGCTGCACTATGGCGACGGGTCTTCAAAGTTGAACCGTGACCAGGGGACTAGGAAGTTGGTTGCGCACGCTAAAGGTCAGAAGGAGGTGGGATTTATGGGTAATACTTTGGTGCTTCCGGTGTTTCCTAGGAAGGGGACTATTAGTCCTTGGTCTTCCAAGGCGACGTCGATTGCGCATGTCTGTGGATTGGGGGGATATGTTAAGAGGATTGAGAGGGGAGTTTTGTTTTCTGTGGCGTTTGAGAAGGAAGTTGGGTTTGGTGGGGTATTTGGGGGGGTGGATAATGTGCTATTTGATCGCATGACTCAGGTGCGCATCCCTCTAAGCCCTAGGCTTTTCTAAGTGAAGGGTTGATTGGAGCTGATACGTGTATTTTGGCCCAGACATGTCAAGCGGAACCTCCTAGTTACGAAGAGTTGTTTGGAACCCATGAACCGCTTCCGGTTGGGCAAGTCGATCTTCGATCTTCTGCGGCTCTGCCATTGGAGGCCCTTGAGTCGGCGAATAATACGTTGGGTCTTGCATTGGACTCTTTTGAGATGCAGTATCTTCTTGAGGCGTTCTCGGATGCCGGGCCATGCCCTCGAAATCCCTACGATGTCGAGTTGTTCATGTTTGCTCAGGTGAACTCCGAGCACTGCCGTCACAAGCAGTTTAACGCATCCTGGGAGATTGATGGGCAGGGAAAACCACACACTCTTTTCGGGATGATCAGAAATACACATAAAATTAGCCCTGATCACACCATTTCTGCATACTCTGATAATGCAGCTGTGCTTGAAGGGAACAATGGTGTGCACTGGGCGCCCGATCCGGAGTCGAAGGAGTGGGCATCTACACAGGAAATGGTACACTTCGTTGCCAAGGTTGAAACACATAATCACCCAACCGCCGTCTCACCATACCCCGGCGCTGCCACGGGCTCCGGTGGTGAGATTCGTGACGAGGGCGCTGTGGGTCGGGGATCAAAGCCAAAAGCTGGGCTAGCAGGATTCAGCGTGTCGGATCTTCTAATTCCTGGATTCCAACGGCCTTGGGAATTGAGCGTTGGCAGACCCCATCATATTGCCAGTCCCTTGGATGTTATGCTAGAGGCACCTATTGGGTCAGCGGCATTCAATAATGAGTTTGGGAGACCTTGTATCGCGGGCTATTTCCGGACTCTGACGACAACGGTGGAACAGGGGAATGTGAAGGAGATTAGGGGATATCACAAACCTATCATGATTGCTGGTGGTTTGGGTACTGTTCGCCCAGTACACGCTATTAAGCGGGCGGGAATGATCGAGCCGGGGGCTTACTTGATTGTTCTCGGGGGTCCGGCAATGTTGATCGGGCTGGGTGGAGGCGCAGCTAGTAGTATCACTTCTGGCGAGGGGTCGGTAGATCTCGACTTTGCCTCTGTTCAGAGAGGGAACCCGGAGCAGCAGAGACGTGCACAGATGGTTATTGACGCTTGCGTCGCCCTAGGAGAGAACAGCCCTATAAGATCCATTCATGACGTCGGTGCCGGCGGGCTTTCAAACGCTCTCCCAGAATTGGTACACGATGCTGGTCTAGGGGCTACTTTTGAGCTTCGAGAGGTTGAGAATGCCGACAAGGGGATGAGTCCTCTGCAGATATGGTGTTGCGAGGCTCAGGAGCGGTATGTGATGGCTGTGGCGGAGTCCGGCTTGGAGACTTTTGTAGCGATCGCCAAACGGGAGCGCTGTGGGTTTTCCGTCGTTGGTAGAGCCGAAGGGGGGAGCGACGCAGAGCAGAGGCTGGTCCTCAAGGATAGGGATAGCAGGGACCATCCTAAGGTCATTGACCTTCCCATGTCAACGCTGTTTGGAAAGCCTCCGAAGATGCACAAGAACGTTACAACCCGGGTGTTGGGCCACGCTCAGTTCGATAATAGCTTGGAGACCTACCTCCCGAATCTATCGCCGCAGGACCGTTTAGTCGAGGCTGTGGATAGGGTGTTGAAGCTTCCTAGTGTTGGTTCCAAGAGCTTCCTCATCACTATTGGGGACAGGACTGTTACTGGGTTGGTCACTCGGGACCAGATGGTCGGCCCTTGGCAGGTCCCTGTCGCAGATGTCGCAGTTACCGCAACTTCGCTGTCTGAAGAATCAGTCACGGGTGAAGCTATGGCAATGGGTGAGAAGCCAACTCTAGCTCTCATCTCCCCCGCAGCGTCTGCACGTATGGCCGTCGCAGAGTCTATCCTCAACTTGGCAGCGGCAGACATCCAAGGCGGCCTAAAGCGTGTCCGGTTGTCGGCAAACTGGATGGCAGCCGGAAACCACCCTGGCGAGGGAGCGGCTTTATACGAAGCCGTCGAAGCCGTTGGTATGGATCTTTGTCCGAAGTTGGGGATCAGTATTCCTGTTGGGAAGGATTCTATGAGTATGAAGATGAAGTGGAAGAGCAACGGTGAAGATAAGGAGGTCACTGCACCGGTATCGCTCGTTGTCACCGCATTCACCGCCGTTGAGCATGTTGGTAGGACCTGGACTCCTGCCCTGAAGCGGGAGAGAGGATCAGAGCTTGTCTTTGTCGATTTGGCACTTGGTAAGATGGAGATGGGTGGGAGCGCTCTTTGCCAGGTATTCCAACAAGTTGGAGCTCACTCCCCTGATGTGAGAGACACCGGGGTTCTCACCGCCTACTTTGATGCGTGCAAGAAGCTCAGAGAGCTTGGGATTGTCCATGCTTATCATGACAGGAGTGATGGTGGCCTATTTACTACGATCGTTGAAATGGCATTTGCCGGAAGGGTCGGCGTCGATATGAAATTGAAGGACTACGCCAATAGCAGAGACCCTAAAGACATTATAGCATCCTTGTTCAACGAGGAACTTGGAGCAGTCTTCCAGGTCAGCGAATCCGACCTCGGAGCTTTCGAAGATGCCTTCGGGGATGCCGGGTTCCCGAAACGATACCTTTATACCATTGGAGTAGTTAAGGCCGCCGATGAACAGACCATTAGTATTGACTATGACGGGATAGTCGTCTACGATCTCACTCCTCGAGGAGAGCTCCAGCAGAAATGGTCTGAAACCTCCTATGCAATGCAGAGGCTGCGCGATAACCCCGTGTGCGCTGACCAAGAATACGAGAACATCCTCGACGACGACGATCGAGGCCTAACTTACATCCTGACATTCACCCCCTCCAATCTCCTCTTTACCACTCTCCCCACCTCCAAACCCCGCGTGGCAATCCTCCGCGAACAAGGCGTAAACGGCCACGCCGAAATGGCATTTGCATTCAAGCTGGCCGGGTTCACACCTGTGGACGTTCACATGACAGATATAATTGACGGGAACATCACACTCTCGGACTTTGTCGGACTCGCCGCCTGTGGCGGATTCTCCTACGGCGATGTATTGGGCGCCGGCGCAGGATGGGCCAAATCCGTCCTCCTACACGAGAAAACCAGACAGGAGTTCGAAGACTTCTTCAAGACCCGCAACGATACATTCGCCCTGGGAGTCTGCAACGGCTGCCAATTTCTCAGCAGAATCACCTCCTTAATCCCGGGAACCGAATACTGGCCAACTTTTGAGCGTAATGTAAGCGAACAGTACGAAGCCCGCCTTTGCATGGTCGAAATTTGCGACCCCCCTAGCCTCGCGGTGCCCAGCGTATTCCTAAATGGGATGCACGGAGCCAGCTTCCCCGTTGCCACGGCGCACGGCGAGGGTAAAGCCACTTTCACCTCTGCTATCCAACAGTTTTGTTTTGAAACCACAGGCATGGCCGCTATCCGCTATGTGGATAACAAAGGCAACCACACCGACCGTTATCCGTATAATCCGAACGGATCGCCTGGGGGGCTCACGGGTGTCAGGAATGAGAATGGGAGGGTGTTGGCTATGATGCCGCACCCGGAGAGGACTGTCTTGCAGGAGGCGGTTAGCTATAAGCCCACTGGGTGGAGAGGGGAGTGGGGTGGTGTCGGTCCCTGGGTGAGAATTTTTAGAAGTGCAAGGAGATGGGTCGGGTAGTCATGGTCTGTCACTCGGATAGGTTTGCCATCGTTTTTTCCTTCATGTTGGGCTGGGTCTGTGGCAGGGGTTGGTAAAATATCTGGGATTAGCTGTTTCTTCTCTTTTCTTACTTTTTTTCCCCCGTAGCGGTGGTAGATATCAATAAACCAATCTTTCAATTAGATGGTTCCAACACCATTTTAGTGATACTGCCCTGTACTCGACCGTCTGTGAATTCTCCACTCTGCAGTCATGTACCGAGCAGCGTATCGCACGTAGCCCGCCACACATATCCTAAAACAGTAATACGAATCATAATACAGAATTCGTATTACTTGGCCGCCCACAGACATGCTCAATCTCTACGGCTCCCCAATGACAATACCCAACACACAGTGGGTGAGGGCAAAGGGGAGAGAATCAACGACACAAGCCCAATGGTTCCAGAGAGAGCATAACCCCTGACCTTACCGTAACACGCGAGATATTAGCAACCAACCGAGCCATAGAAGCGGTAGACGGGGGACGATTATCCGAGTAATAAGGATCGCAGAGAGTGTAGATGATATCATACTCCGCCAAGCTCACTGGGGCTTTGCGCGGGACGCGCTGTGCCTCCGAGCCAGGGATTGCACCCGTTCATTTGCACTTTCTCCGAGTCTACACTAGTTACTCCAAAGGGGGGGGGAGGGGAGATCCTTGGCGTGGAGCCGTGAGTAGGGGTCCTTTTTTCCTTTTTCCCTTTCTTTTTCTTTTTCTTTTTTCGCTCTCCCGCATCGACACCTGAGATTGGGATATCAATATTTCTTCAGTGAGTTTTTCGTGAAGGGGCCCTCGGGGTGAGTTGTGGTCATTTGGGTGCCATTTTACGCGCTGTCTCCAAAAAAATAGATAAGTGAATAAGTAAACGGGTCGTCACATTGGTCTGTTGCTGCGTCTACAGTAATTCATGGCTTTTGGACTTTTGAATGATGATACCATAGTTTGTGGGTTTTTGGTGGCCGAGGAATTGCACGCTCGCATCTCTGACAATACGGAGGCTTCCCACGCTAGTGATTTATCCCCGAGTATCATGCCCCTTCTCTCATTAAAGGGTCAGCTGGATCGGGATTCCTGGGGAGCAAGAGGATTGGTCCGACCTATAGGCTGATCTGGTGGTACCGGAGTTGACGGTGCGAGTCGATAAATAAGATGAGGACAAAGAGTTTTGTCGTTACACCGTTGCCAGTGGGTCAACTATTATTATCCTCATATTTTCGTGGGGGATGTCAACCGCCGATTTCTGATCCTGGAGATCCACAGCGTGCAATCCACAGGTGTCACTAAACCCAAGCCATAGAAAAGCTTATTGCAGAGCCTCATTCCCATCGTGTTCAAAAAGGGATATGCCCAGAAACGGCAATTTATGTCAATATTCGATACGCAAAACTTGCCATAATCGGCCATGCTGACACACCCGCCAGCTCCACCTAAACGTGATTAAATCGGTCGTAAAGGGAAATTGACAAGGACAGATCAGGACGCGCGCTGGAAGGAGAAGAGAATGAAAGCAGCGACTGCTTTACTTGACTTCTGCTGCCTGCGAGCCAAGTTCCAACGCGTCTTCCCCAGTTATCCATCTCTGACTGTGATATACACTCACAACCCCCGTCGTTTGCTGCTCACGCTCGGGACAGAACACCCTACCCCCTCGACTGCCATAATCTGATCGGCAGCCCGAAAACCCCCTCCCCTGTCTTTGCAAACCCGACGCATAAACTCCCCAGAGCCCGTGAAAGCCTTGAAGAAGGAAGAATAATAATACCTAGACAGCGAGTATCCAGAAACTCGCGGTAGAGTAGAGGACAATAGTCCGGAGGGAGAGAAAGGAGTCAGGATGGCCGCACCGACACCCGAGCGCGAGCGCAAAGGTCCTTGGGCGAATCGAGTTCTTAGCACCGAGATTGAAAGGACGCATGAATACAATGAATTCATCGATAAGCTCAGAGCGTATCACCAGAAACGAGGGTCAGTCGGAGCATCCCCATGTCTTTTCTTTTCTTTTCTTTTCTTTAGGGCTTTTCATTCGCATCGCCCGTCCATCCATCCATTTGCTTGCCCTTCAGGGCGCCGTCTGCTTTGAGGAGCTTAGGGCTAACTGCGACCCTTTTCTTTCCGCAAATTTTTCTGCTTCGCAGGACTACCCTCACCATCGAACCAGAGCTGGGTCGCAAACTCCTCGACCTGCGCAAACTCTACAATAAAGTTACATCATTAGGCGGATACGATAAGGTTACCGAAGAAAAAGGTTGCGGTCCCTCTATTAACCCCGTCTTGCCGTGGGTGGGCGCTGATCGTGACACTGGAAATTCTCAAGGTGCCTGGAGGGATCTCGCGCTGGGATACAAGCTTGCTGCGAACAATACCAACGCTGGCTATCTCCTCAAGACCATCTACTACAAAAATCTCGCGTACGTCAACCCCGGCCCCCGCCATCTCCCCGACCCTTCTGGTATGCCCCCTGCTGACCCCACACAGGGCATACGAAATCTCGAATTTCTTCGGAAAAGAGCCCCCACCCAAGGAGTGGCTGGAAGAGAGATCTGCCGCTGGGGGTTCCATCATGACCAGAACCGCGGAAGACTTCCAGGAAGCGTCGCCGCGCCCGGAATCAAAAGGGGATAAATCGCCAACCCCTCCTCCTTCCGAGAAGCGAAGTATGTCTCCCTTGCCCTAATCTTTGTGGATACAATTTTCACATAACCTAATATTTAAGTCCGGGATTATCCCATAGGCCTTCGTCAAGCGCCTACCCCCAGAACCTTCTACAACCCTGACACGACCCCACAGCGCCAACACTCCTCCCGCATGTCTTCCGATTCCCGACAGCAGGGCCAACAGGGCTCGCCAAACAACCAGATGAATGGCAGCACACTGAATTTCCCCAGCTTTCAATCCAGTAGCATCAACGCGCCAATCGGAAGGCCAGTCGCGACACCTCGGAATGCCCCGCACGAGTTTATAAACCACAAGCGGAGGGCGGCAGAGGTTCTTGTCTCCAATCCTAATAGGCATGGGGGTATATATCCATTCCGCGCGATTAGAGGGGAAGTGTGCTGAATATAGGAACTAGCTGGACATCAAGGAGCCGCCCTAATGGTCCGAATCTCGATGGGTCTCAAGTCTGGCATTCCCAGCGAGGTTGACTACGCTCTGAGTCAATTGGTTCGAATATCATTCGAATCCGGCGACGAATTACGTGCGGAGTCGTATCCAGGATTATCCGAGGCTCTCTTCGAGAAACTAGTCACCGTTCAATCTCTTGCTGACACCCGCTACCCCGAGGGCACCGGAGAGCTTTTGGAGGATTCAAAATTCGTGAAGCAGCTCGAAAAGATAAACGAGGCCGCTCTTGTTCTCCGCAACATGTCTTTACAACCTGATAACGCAAGATACTTTTCCCGGCTCAAGAACGGCCGGCAAATCATAGTCGCCTGTATGAACCTGCCCGGACAGAGCTGTTTTGTGGAATTAAAACACTACGCGCTGGATATGGTCGAAGCCATGGCGATCCACTTCTCACTCGCTGTTGACGATGACTTGTTCCCGACCCTTCATGCGAACCTCCTCTCCGACGACCGTGGCCTAGTTCTAGGCTCACTGAAGGCAATCTGCAGGCTTGTTATGGGTCGCGACGAGGCCAACTGCATAGGGCAGATCAACAAATGTGCGATCGACAGAATCAAGGCGCTCATCATGCTGGAAGACGAAGACTTGGTTTCCGCTTGCCTTGACTTCTTATACCAGTACACTACAAATGAGGAGAACGTGGAGAAGCTGATACAGCCGCCCGATGGGATCGAGATAGTCAAACAGTTGACAAGATTACTATTACATCAGGCCGTTCCAGGTGATCAAGTTGTGTTTTTGACGGGCTCGCTAAAGCCCATCATCAAACCCCCGGTGATACCTAATCTGCCCCAGGAAATTGTCACTGACTTGTTGAGTTATGCTGAGCCAGATCGTGCAGCCAAATGGTTAGTCCTTACGTATGCCACATGTACATCATTTGTTGCTGACAGCGTTTACACATTAGGATGAGATGCTGCTTCGAGGAAGACCCAGGCGCCGACATCACCCAGATAGCACTCTGGCAAGCGTACCAAGCACGCTTCACCGAATACGTCGCTGCCGGTCGCCCCCTCCTCCCTGCCGCAGAATTCATCAAAAACGTAAGCGTAGCCTTCAACAACGCTTCAGCAATGGTCCTCCCCATACCCGGTGGCGGCCAAAAATTCATCATTAAGGGCATAAAAGCCCGGGAAACGCCAATGTCTGTAAAGGGCCAAGTCTACCTCGCCTGCAAATGGATCACCGGCACCAATAGCAACACCAGCGGCACCGAAACCGCACAACAACAACCGGCCCAACCCATCAAATGCCCCTCCCAACTCGCGACACCCCAAGACCTCTGGGTGCACATTCTAAAAGACCACCTCTCCCCGCCCGATGCCACACAGCAACCACAGGCAATGCTCTTATGCAACTGGGGCGGCTGCGAGCGCTTCCACCCCGCCGGCGACTCGGACAGGAGAAAAGTAATAGCCCACGTGCGAACGCACATGCCTGAAACCAGTCCACCCAAAAGCTCCCACCCTTCCTCCCGTTACCCCACAGCAAGCGACTGGCTCGAGGATCCCAAGCAGGTCAAGCTAGTCATCAGGCGCAACCAGACGGGCATCGACGACCGCGGTGAGGCCGCGGGGATACCGCTCACGGCCGTGCTGGTGCTCAGGAACGTGGCCAGGCGCGGCATGTTCAATGGGAAGGAATTGCTGAGCGGAGAGAGGCCCGTCCTGTTCGAGATTATGGCGGTCAACAAGCCGCTCGCGACCTATATCGCGGATCTATTGGTCGAGGAGGATGAGGGGGAGGTTGATGATTAGTTTCTTTTCTTTTGCACCTCACGGGGTCAAGGTAGAGAGGGGGGTAATTGTACTTTTAGCTCTAATTCTTCCTTTTAACTCTCAAACTCATCCCCCCCCCCTTCTCCCCCCCCCAAAAAAAATACCTTTTGTTATCGTAGAATTGCGTTTGGTGGCAAGGTAGATGGGTGGACGGACGAATGGATTTACATACCAATCTCTTCTTCTTGTCAAGTTCACTTTATCATTGAGGCAGGGAAATTAGTTTGGGGAGGAGGCTTTTGTTGTTACACATTTCTAACCTCCCATATCATGTCACACTTTTTCTATCTCTTGCATCGCTCTACTTTCTTCGAGCCCCTTTTACCCGTCAAGTTCTCTGCGGGAATAGGAATGGGAGTTGTAACTATCATATCATAGCTTTGGCAAAAAAAATTAAATTTCCGGTCAGTGTGCCCAGAGATGTTTGCTCAGCTATAGCGGGCGGGCAGGCAGGCAAGGTTAACCAAACGTAGAACCACAAAATCTCACTCGTCTATACACACAGCCTCGTCTCCCACCCCCACCTTCCCGACGCGCACCGTTTCATCAATACTCCAACGATACAAAGCGACCCGGGGATAATAACGCAAGGCATATAGAAACCTGCGCACTCATTACATACGGTACATCCGTTTCAAGGTATAGATATGATGACGAAAAAAAAAATTAAAAAACTAAAACGCTTTTGCGGGATATGTTCGCGTGAGCAGGGCGTAATGCCGAGTTATTCTCCGTGAAGCCTCGTACTTTCCCCTTCCCATCCTTATTCACTCGTACAGCATGATACATGTTTTGGGAACTACCCGTACTCTAGCAGCGGCGCAAGGCACTGTATCGTAATTTAAGTTACTGTACGAGTAGAGTACTGTTGCAATGTACTAGTACTCTACAGTACAGACAGCACCGCACAGACAGACAGACAGACAGACAGACAGACAGACAGACAGACAAGAGCTGATTGGCAATCATCCCCACTCAAGTACGTAAAAACCCCCAAAATTAAATTAAATTAAATTAAATCAATCATCGAGAGCTGTGTGTGGTGGTAAGAGCTCGAGACCAAACTCTGCTGTCTGGTGCCAGCGCAATGGGTGCTCTCCGTTAGATACGGTGACGACTGTACTGTACCGGATGGCATAGCACTGGTGTTATAACTATACCGGTTATCGTTTACAGCGTGGTCTTCCGTACGTACGGTACGGCGATAGATACGGTAGATATAAGAATGGCATTTCCTCTCGCCACACTTGTTTTCTTTGTTCCGATGTGTTGCAGTGGTGAGGCCGAGAGTGACGGTGTTAAGTCGATCCCGACGTTTTTTACTGGTTTCCTTCTGGACGCACTTCCCTTTCTCTTCCCTTCCACCTTCTGTATTACGTTCTTTGTTCCCTATCGTTCCCGCTCGCCCCGACTGGAGGAATTAATTGTTTTTTTTGTTTGTTTTTTCTTCTTCTTCGAATTCCTGTTTGAAATTCTCTCTCTCTCGTGGAGTGTAGTGTTTGTAGTGGCAATCAATAGGGTGTTGCGCTGCGGTACTTGAGGGTTACGGTGCCGGTATTAGTGTTGTGTCTTCGGACTCCCCCCCCCCCCCAAACTCGCTACGCTTTGCCTTTTATTTCTCTTCTTTTGGGTCTTAAAACCGCCTGTCCCCCCCCCCCTGCGGCCTTACCTACTTACTTACCTTCCACATACCGACGAAACTTCTCTTTTTTAAAATATAAAACTGGTTCAGCTCACATTTAACAAAAAACCAAAACCCCTCCCCCACCTCGCAATCCATCCATCCACTTCGGCACCCCGCATTTTTCTCTCCTTTCGCTTTCTAAGGAAGAAAAAGAAAAGAAAAGTGTCCACCGGAAATAATAATAATAATAGTTATAATAGAAAATGTCTGACAGGTGCCCACCCCGCCTCCACAACCGCCAACCCTCCACTTCTTCGGTTCAGAGCGATACATCCACCGGCGACGGCGGCGAACAAGGCACGTCTCCTAACGACGAACCTCCTCCTCCTCCTCAACAGCAGCAACAGCACCAGAAGCCCGCTCATCATCATCATCAGCAGCAGCAGCACCAGCGGACACACAAGAAGCAATTCCTTGTCGGAGGTGCACACTCGCGTCACCATACGCGGGTCCCATCGTACGGGCGGAATTTGAACAGGCTTGGGAAGTTGACGCCGTTGGAGACGTCGCCTGTGAAAGGCGCCGCAAGTGAGAGGGTGAAGGGCGGTGGGAAGAAGTTGACGTTCGGGGTTGGTGAAGGTGGTGGTGGCGAGGAGGGACAAGAACTGATAGAAGGAGAAGTAGAAGAGGTTGAGGTGGTACCAGAAGAGACCACGAGTGGTGGTGGTGGTGGTGGTGGTGGTAGTGGTGGTTTAGTAACGTCAGGTGGTGCTGTTGGGGGCGGCGCTTCGGGGACTAAGGGACTGGCGCCCAGTGCTAAATCTCTCGATCATCAACCACGAGAGGGGGTGCGTCGGAAGTCATATACCACGACTCGAAGAGCGGGTTCCGGTCAGGATAACAGCGGAAATAATAAGAGGGATAGATCACGGTCGAAATCGAGAGAGGGCGGGAGGAATAAGAAGATTACAGCTTCTTCTGGACACGTTCCTGCGGACGGGTTTGTCGAGATGGGTGCTGGACGGGGTACTGGTAGTGACGGAGGTGGCGATGCACCTTCGGCGACAATCACATCACCATCGCAGCAATTACAACGGAAGCAACAGCAACAGCAACAGCTTACATCCCAGCCTGCACCGGCACAATCGAAACCACAATCACAGAATCAATCACAGAATGGCGGAAATGGCAATGCCAATACTCAACCTCCTACCGCAAAGGAGCTGCACGCCCACCTCCTCCTCCCGCACACAAAACCCCCCAGCGCAACAATCCCCCCACAAGTGAACCACGAGTCCATCTCCACGCATACCAAAATTCAGCATACACCTCCTCCACCAAACGCACCGATAACGCCCGCCCACTCACCCCCCAATTCCCACGATCAACCATTAACCTCCCGCTTCATAGACTTTTCAAATTCACAAGGCGGAGCATCAATCTCCCCATCTTCCGGCGGCGGCGCCCGTCGCAGTGGTAATGCTGGGGGAGGAGATGGCGCTCCCCCATCCACAGCAGCATCACTCCCAACCCCGAATCGCCACAAGTCCTCATCCGTCCCGAAAACACCAACAGACCCCCCATCAACTACCTCTACGACCGCCTCCAAGACCACCCCCGCTGCTATCGCGGTCAAACCCTCCAGAACCCAACAAAAGCTCTGGCTCCAACGCCAATCCTCCCAGCACGAGCCCCCCGTGGCAATCCCCCACCACGCATACCTCTCCCAAGTCTCTTATCAAAACCCACAAACCCATTCCCAGTCCCACCACCACACCTACCACCCCACCACCACCTCTCACTCCCCCTCCGCAGCCCTCTCCATCCCGCTCTCTCGTGGGATCCACCCAGCCCGCCTCACGAAAGAATTCGAACGCGTGAACCGCGAGTACCTCAACACCCGCCGCTTCATGAACCCGATCCTGGACTCCCTGGAGAGAACAGCTACTGGGCGCAACCCCGACCGGCGGATACCCAGGAGGGGCCATGCCAGCGATGCGGGTGGAAACACCATGGGCCTTTCCCAGAGCCTGAAGGAAACGGGAAGTTTGAGAGTCGGTGGTGGTGGTGGGGTGAGAGGTGGCAGTGTCGGAGTCAAGGATGATTCGGCCGTTGCGAGACAGAGCGTTGCTGAGAGGGGGAGGGAGAGGGAGAGGAGCGGGGATTTGCATGCTCTGTTGATGAGGATCTGGAGGGAGGGGGAGCTGTTGGTATCCACTGAGTGAGGCGCGCTGCCGCTTTGACGAGCCGTGGGGGTGGATGAGTGGGTGGGCCTCTTCTTGTGCTTTTACTACTGCATGATCATCATAAAGCTTGTCATAGTCTTTGCTTCGATATCTTTCCTTTTCTCCCCATCATGTGATTATTCTGTTTTTCCCTCCTCTTCCTAGCTTTAATGTAAGTACTTTCTCTCTTTCCCTCGTCATTTGATTGGTATGGGAGCTTCTTCCTGTCTGACTCGTCACGTGTCTTTTGCTTCGCTCTTCCTTACCGATGTAAATTAAATTAAACTAGGTGGCAACTGTCTTTTTTTCTTTTCTTTTCCGATTCGCTCACTTGATTTGCTTGACTACCATAAATTAAATTAAATTCAATGTCCGGATAGCCATGTTGTAGCTGCCGAGTTTTCTTTAAAAGTGAAAGTGTAGAATTCTAAGTATATTGGACTTCCAGGGTCCGATTTGCCATGTGGGTAATCATGGCATCCATCCCTCACTCCGCCTCCGACAGAAAGGGATCCTAAGAGATAACACTCAGAATATACCCCTCCAACTCCTCATACGCCTTATCCAGGTCATTGTTCACAATAACCTTATCATGCACACCAGGCACCTCGGCAAACTCCAACTCCACCCTCGCCGTCTCCAACCTCTTGCTCAAGCTCTCCTCGGTCTCGGTGCCCCTGCCTTCAAGCCTACTCCTGAGCACCTCCAAACTCGGTGGCTTCAGAAACACAAACTTGGCGCCCAAACCCGTGCGCTTCACCTGCTTCACACCCTCCATCTCGATGTCCAGCACGCACACGCGCCCCCGCTCGGCAACAGCCTTGACAGCGTCGATGCTAGTGCCGTAGTAGTTACCGCTAAAGCGCGTGTACTCGATGAACGCTTCCCGGGCTATCATGGATTCGAAGGTCTCCGGGGTGACGAAATGGTACTCCACGCCCGGGGTTTCTCCGCTCCGGGGTTGGCGGGTGGTGTGTGAGATGCTGAAGCCGAAGGTCTCGGGGTGCGAGGCGAACAAGCGGGTTAAAAGGGTGGATTTGCCCGTGCCGCTCGGGGCTGAGAGGACTATTGGGGGTTTGGAGGGGACTATGGATGGGGGGGACTATGGATAGGGGAGAAGTTAGCTGAGGAGTGGAGCAGAGTGGAAGGGAAGGAGGCACCTGGTGTCATGATTATGGTTTTGTGAGATGAATTGGGTTGTTGTTGATGCTGCAATGGCGGTGGTAGAGTTCTGACACGTCGAGGGTGCTCTAGTATGAGTAAAGGAGAAAAGCGAAGGGAACCCGCTAACCAGGGTGGGATAACTTGGGCTGATCGAATCATACTACGTACTCGAGTACTCGTACCGGTATTCCGTAGCCTACTGTACGAGTACGGTAATCAAAGGGCCCGTGCGCAATTGCACCCACACTCGGATGCGGCACAGGCACAGGCACCCTGCGTTGCTGGGTTTCAATCGGCGGTTATCGAGAGGAGCCCAGTGGAGATTTTCGTTTCTTTCCTCCCCACGAGGTAGAATTGAGCTTTGATATTTTGTGTGTTTGAGGTGTATGGATTTGTGCCATTACCGGTAATCGAGTATATACTCGTCGGCGTAGGTGCGAGCCTCTTTTTGTTTGTGATGTCAGACCGGAGAGCGGGTCGGTCAGGCATAGAAGTGAATTGGCAAAAAAAAAAAAAAAAAATCCGGGAAACCTCAATTGAAGCCCAACAGTAGGACAGGCCCTGATGGCACAGTATGATATATGTTGGATATTCCCCCCTTCACTCCATTAGGTGCCGGATTTGGAGTTTTGATTTCTTTGGCGATATTTTTGCGGTGAGGGTTTGGTATGATATAAATTTCACTTTCCACGTCCGATGCGTTCGGGGATATTGGTGGGTGTCATGGCACAAGCGTCATACAGGTAAGATACCGGCAGACAAAGGAAGGGGCTGGCCTGTGACCATTGCGGGTCTGTTGCACTAACATGGCCGTTATGATACAAAGGCATTGTGAGGTATGATAACTAGATTCATTTCTCCTCGCCACCTCAAAACTTCTATGATAATATTATCATACCTGCACAGCACCTGTAGTATCACATCACAGAGTTCCGTGCGAAAACTCCATTTTGACGTAAAGTGTCGGGTCCGGCTAACGAAAAGCGGGGGCAATTGAACTTTTCATAGGGAGAGGGAGCGAGACGTTTCCGAGAATCGGAACATTGTAAGGGAATTGACAGAGATATGGTAGGTGCTGTATCCCCATTCTTTTCAATTTGGGTTTTCTTGGAGGCGAGGCATACTTCTTGGGCAATTTCCAAGGTTTGAAGGACCGAGACGGCCAGACGTGCCATTTGCCGTGTCTTCCGCGAGAGAAACTGTCCTTTCGGTCTGTTAGATATAACATCAGTAAAACACATAATTTGCGGTGCGGTATGGATTTACACTCGAGTCTCAGATGTCTGAGAATGTCCGGACGAGATAGCCCCTCAAATCTGGTCATCAGAATGCTTATATCGACGTTGAATGCTTTCGTCCGTACACTCGGGTATCTGTCGCCGTTTTTCCGAAAGAGTGTTGATATGGTATCATAAATTCACAGCGCTTGGCAACCCTCACGGATAGAATTCGTTCGTATCATATGTCCCTCCATCACGCCTTCAAACTGCCAAATCCCGCCATTTCAGAATGAGAAAAACACCTCTCTTATCTTCGTCTCAAGTTTTACTTTTTTTTCCCCCGCTTCCTCATGATCCACCGAATCTAGAACCGGGAGATCGGTAAACATTGCAAGGGGCATTGTCCGGTTAGCGGCGTTGATACAATTTCCCCTCACCCCCCATCACAAAGGCCACCAGGGTTCGTAGCGAAAATCCTCCAATGTAATACGCATACAAGGCCGTATCGTAACAGGGAACGGAAAGCGAGAGCTCCATACCACTGCGACTGTGTATACCTAGCTCGCGTTCAATTCCTTGTGTTCTCTTCTCGAACTTCTTCCTCTTCCTCTTCCTAACAGCAGAACTGACACCACAATGCCATACACAAACGAACGCCGGATCGCGGAATTGGCCATTCACCGGGCATCCATTCTCACTGAAAGGGTTTATAATTCTCAGGTCAAGGGGACTATTACGAAGGGTGATAAATCGCCTGTTACGAGTACCCCCCACCTTTTCCAATTATCTAACCCCACAAACACGACCGAGCTAATGTATGAAAAAATAAAGTTGCCGACCTCGGCGCCCAAGCCCTCATAATCAGCAGCATTACCCACGCCTTCCCGGAAGACTCCATCGTCGGCGAAGAGGACTCCAGCCATCTCCGAGCAGACAGGCCAAAGCTAGACTTGGTCTGGGGTCTAGTCCAGGATAGCTTGGAGGCAACCAAGGACCAGACGAGCGAGCTCGGTGATATCAGGGACGATGAGGAAATGCTTGCTGCTATTGATAAGGGGAATCACCAGGGTGGCTCTGTAGGGAGTTTGTGACTACATTTTCTTACATTATTACTATTCTCCCTCCATTTACAAAGAGTGCTAATAATGGAGGGTAGGAATCTGGGCCCTGGATCCAATCGACGGGACACTGGGATTTCTACGCGGTGCTCAGTATGCTATATGTTTGGGATTGATGGTTGACGGGAAGGTCCAGGTTGGTGCACTTGCATGCCCGAACCTACCAGTCGATCCCGGGGCGCCAGGGGGAAAGGAGGGAATCTTGCTATCGGCCGTTAGGGGGCAGGGCGCTACTATGGTATGTTTATTTTCCTGCTCAGGATATCTTATGCACAACATTTATGTGGGCTTCTCCATGTGCTCAATGCTTTTCCCATTTGCAGAAACCATTGTCAACCCCGTTTGCCCAAGGGGCTCCCATCTCCATGAGTTCTGTCACAGACTTTTCAAAGGCTAGGTTCTGTGAAGGTGTTGAAAAGGGCCATTCCTCGCATAGTGAGCAGGCGTCCATCGCCAAGAGCCTGGGAATTACTGCACCAGCTATTCAGATGGATTCGCAGGCAAAGTATGCTTCGATTTCTCGTGGCGTTGGAGAGATTTACTTGAGGCTGCCCGTTAGTTTGTCCTATGAAGAGAAAATCTGGGTGCGTTTTCCCTCATCCCCCAGTCTCCCGTGGTCCTTGGGTAATAATGTTCGTAGGATCATGTCGCTGGATCACTGATTGTCGAGGAGGCCGGGGGCGTAGTCACTGACACCTATGGGAACGAGCTAGATTTCGGGCAGGGAAGGACATTGAAGACTAACAAAGGAATTGTGGCGGCCCTTAGGGCCCTGCATCCAGCCGTTCTGAAGGCCGTACAGGAGGAGTTGAAGGGTTTTAAGCTTTAGGTTGCGCTGCCATTCTAGTAGAGATAGACCATACAATATACTCTCTCCCCGGGTCCACTTTGGACCTGGCTGAATGTGGTTACGGCCCGAGCCGCACAATGGGACTGCCAGTTTGTGAATTTAACAATCATGAAAGATCACTCGATGAGTGTTTTTAGCTGTGAAATTTGGTCGTGCTGACTAATTGTGAGCCTTCATTTCCAACAGTGATTCGTCTCTGCTAAGGGATCGCATACCTTCTCCTGCTTATAGTTATCCCACTGCTTGCATAGATACCGGTATCAGAGGGGTGTGAGCATGTGGTGCGCGACGTGCAGTGGGTTTCTTCCTCCTTCACGGCAGCTGTAGGAGTCACGTGCAATCCTTGGTATATCAATTGCTCACTGGCCGAACTGGAAACATGGTTGCGAGGGAAAAGAAAAAAACATGATTCATCGATACCGTACGAGTACATTTTGTTTCAAATGGGTAGGAAGACATAAACTGGGGGTTCCCCTGGCGTAGAAACTCTTCAGTCGGTGTAGAGGAGAATATTCAACAGGTTAAATTTGCTGTGCGTAGGCACTAATTGGATCATTGGATTACATAACTAATTACGATAGGCGCTCCGGTTGTGTCTTTGCCCCACCACCGGCCTTTTTCCTTGAAAGCCCACCGTGGCCGCAGCAAAAAATCCCCCACCGGAGAGAGTGAGAGTCCATACCCGCCCCTGGACCAACGTCAACTCCCAAAAGCACTTCCCTCCTCCCTCCCTCTTTCCCATCCTATAATACCTAACACCCCCCAACTAGGCCCGCATTAATATTTTCCCCAAATCTGAGCTCGCTTGTCATCGGGACTGACATTTTCTCTCCCTTATTTTCTTCATTTTCTCTCTACACCTTTCGCACCATTCGGGACGTCGCTTTTTGACGTTCGGATCTTTTTGATAGGATAGCAACAACCCCTCACTACCCCTCACTATGCCTGGAAATACACCAAACTCGTGGGAAGATGCGGCTGGGGATGACAGTGACCTGGCTCGACAAGCGCAAGATCAGTTGAACTTGAGCCGGCAGCAGCAGCAGCAGCAGCAACAACAACAACAACAACCGCAAGGCTCGAGTTTTAGACCGTCATACAATGCCCCGACATTCCAGCCCGGTGCTGCTTCGTTCACACCTGGGGCTCCACCCTTTACTCCCGGAGCCAGTAGCTATGGCCAAGCTGGGTATGGAGCCGGATATGGGCAGCAATACACCCAGTACGGGCAGTACAGTCAGTATGGTATGCAAGGAGGGTACGAGCAGTATGGGCAACAATACGGAAATTATGGTGGCGGATTTGGGCAGCAGGCTGCGTACGGGCAACAGCCTAGCCAGTTCCCCGGATACCAGCAACAACAGCAACAGCAACAGCAGCAACAGCAGCCTTACCGACCACCACACGTTCACC